GAAAAATTCGAAAATGCAAATAATAGCTCATTCGAAAGAGCTCCTCGAGCTGAGTCGAATGACACCAAAATCAGCAAAATCAGACTTGATTTGACAAAGTTACGATCGTTTGTTTTAGCTCCTTACCTTTGTTCTCCGTGGATGTTCTTGCTGCTGCGGAGGAAGCCGGGCATGCCCATCATAGCGATAATTGGAATAGGATTAAGTTACGAGCCCAGACCCAGAGCCCGTAGACTCCCCGCGAGGCGCGAAACTCCGCGCGAAGCGCGGAGTTTTGCACAAGCGCCTCGCCGACGCCCCATAGGTTTACGTTGTTTGTTTTTTCTGTCATAACTTTGAACAAACTTGACCAATCACGGCGATTTTGGTGTCATTCGACTCAGCCCGAGGAGCTCTTTCGAATGAGCTATTATTTGCATTTTCGAATTTTTCACCCCAAATGAACTACTAAATTAGCTGTTTTTTCAGACCTAGAATGTCTTTATTATTCAAATCAGTTTCTGCATACTTCAGGCAGTACTCAAAAAATGATTGGTTCAATTATTTCGGTTCTACACGTAAATCAATTTATTACTACCTCAATCCAGTTGTAATTTTTTCTAGATTTTTGGGGGCCTGTTGCTAATTGGGGACTTCCACTTGCTGCATTAGGAGACTTTGCTACCAAGGTATGTTCACAACTAATTTTATTTAGAAATCAACACTTATTCAGGATCCAGAGTTTATATCCGGGCCAATGACGTGTGCGTTGATAATTTATTCTTCAGTGTTTATGCGATTTGCATGGAGAGTTCAGGTTTTTTGTTTCAAAATTAACTATTAAATGTAAAATCTATAAATATAGCCTCGGAATATGCTTCTACTCGCTTGCCATGCAACAAATTTTTCAGCTCAGAATTTGCAGGTTTCGTAATTTCCGGAAATTTATAATTTTTAAAATTGTCAGCTAGTAAGATTTGTTAATCACAATTATCTGAAAAAAGAATAGAAGCTGGTAAAAATTCATACGAAGACAAAAGATTAGAATATTTATTATGCGATTAAATGCTTTTTTTTGTAGTTTAATAATTCTATCGAGATAAATGACTAATTGTAAATTTATAATTTTCGAGTTTTAGTCCAAAATTTTTTTCGAACTCCAAACAAATCAGGTCTTAAATATGTTCTTATAAACTTTATTTTTATTATTTTTGGACTTAAACCATGGCCTATTATTTTATTTCTAATTTATTCTCCCATTTTTTCAAGTACTGGGATAACTTGATCAAAATTTGGTCGTCTTCCTGGATCTTCGTTTAGACAAATATTGATCAGCCGGAACATGTTTCTTGATATTCCCGCGGGTATTGTAACTCTCAACCCTTCCAAAGCTATTTTCATTCCAGCTTCCATTGGAGAAAGTTCAGAAAAGGGTACCTGAATTTGATGATCTTAAATTTCTTTGATAACGAAAAAAAACCTCGCGAGTGCTTAATTCCCAAAGAAGAATTCCAAAACTCCACATATCGGCAGATCGAGTGTTCAGATCTGAGGGTGCTCGTTGCAGTGCTGAAAATTTTTTCTTAATTAAAGAAAATAAATTTTTCCGTACATTCAGGTGCCATCCACGCTGTTGAATAAAGTCTTCCAATCTCCTGAAATGAAAACTTAGTATCTGAAAGAGAAATTTTGGCGTTTAGGTCTTCATCGACGACAACATGCTTGGAGTTAAGATAGAAACGAAGTATTGGCTGATCTAAAGTAGAAAGATCAAAGTAAGATAGAACTGTAAAAACCTAATGAATGTAGAAATGCCATCCCTTTGGCGATGTCTAATGCGAAACGAGTCGCCTGCGTATGATCAATAACAACAGCTGAAACCATAAAAATTGATTTAATAGAAATATTAGAAACATGATTCGCCGTGCAACACATTGTAAAGAGAGCCAAAATGCATAAATTGACTTATTAGAATCAATTTTGGTGGTTGATTCACCGCAGCCAAAACTGGGTTTATATGTGCACTTGCAAATATCCTGAAGAGTTGGGAAGTGCCTAACAATAAATAACTTAAACAAACCTTAACAACGGGAATTCATTGGCAAAATCGCGCGAAATTCGCTGTGTAACTTCTGGGATATTAAGAACGCGCGCGATGATCTCATTTCCTTGCCATTTTCCTCGGTAAAGAGTGCCAGAATGAGATTGAGCAATTTGTTTAGTTAAGGCAAGAGATTGCAAATCAACACCAGTAAATCTAAAAGTAATATTTAACAAACATTTTACCGATAAAAATACCTAGACCAAGTTGCCTCACGAGATCTCTTCTAAAATTGAAAAATTATACCCCAAAAGGAAATCATTCAAATGTTAGAGTCAAAACCGTTTTTGTATTACGCCAGCTATCACCATTGTATTGTATCTTTTGCTGTGGATTTTGTCCACTGCTCAAAGCAATTTCTTAAATTATCTTACATAAATTAATTTATCAAAAACAAAAAACCGTAGATAGATTGTCTGACTTGAGGTTGACAGACATCTAAAGGGGTTAATCCCCTTTTATTACAAATCATTGCAAGTGCGCCAGCACGAATCAAATCTTCACAAATCTGTTCGTATCCCCAGAAGCATGCATAATGTAAAGGTGTCTAAATTTTTCTATGAGAATTAATTAAAATTAGAATACCATCCCGTGTTCGTTATAAACGTTTACTTCTGCTTTCTTCGACAAAAGTTTCTGAAAAACACTTTGTCCAAAAAATTGAAAATAACTATAATACCACAACAACTTGTCTATGACCATGAGCAGCTGCTAAATGCAATGCCGTATCATCCCCCATATTTGTAGCATTTATTAAGGTCCCTCTATTTAGGAGCATTTCTACAATTGAAAGATGACCTTCCTTGGCAGCCCAATGCAATAGAGAAAATGCATGATCATCCCTTTAATATAAAAATTTCAGCATCGATGATTAAAAGGTATAAAAACGTACCCAACATTTAGATCATGCTCTGTGTCATCCAACCATACTCTCACTTGAAATGCATTTCCTTCTCGTACCCATCCAAATATATCCTATTTTAAGATAAATGGGTACTTTCCTGTTATCGGCCCTCCATTTTTTCTTATTTTTTTCTCACAAGGGAACATATGTTACTGTGAGTACGAATTTGATAAATTTTTTGGTACCATGCGAAAGAGGACCCTCGATTTACTCTTGTAGTTTGCGGGTTTTCTTGCAAAATTAGTTTGGGCCGAGTTCTGGCCGTTCAAAGTTTCAGTCCTTGGGATTGATTGAGTATAAGCAAGAGGGAAAATAAGCGCGCTATAACTTTTTTTTCACTTCTCTGCGTTCTTCACATTATTTTATAAAGAGGAAAAAAGAATGCAAGAGTCGCGAGGAAAAAAGAAGGGAGAAAATGTCAGACACAATAATCAAAGAGAAGGGGCGTGGCTTGTTCTTTGAGGATGAAAAATAAGAGAGAAAAGGAAAATGAGCGAACTATGTCCTTTTTTCACTCTCTCTGCTTTCTTTATATTGATTTACAACAATGAGAGAGAACGCAAGAGGCGCGAAGGAAAAAAAAGGGAGGAAAAATGTTAGACACTAAATAAAGAGAAGATGGGTGTGTCCGTTTTTTGAGTATGAAAAATAAGAGAGAAATTGTTTTCTTACCCTATAACTCCTGACTCTAGCGGTCTAACTTTGAACGGCCATAACTCGGCCCAAACTAATTTTGCAAGAAAACCCGCACATAACAATAGTAAATCGAGGGTCCTCTATCGAATGGTACCAGAAAATTTATCAAATTCGTACTCACAGTAACATATGTTCCCTTGTCAGCCTACTTCTGTACAGTTTGGTCAGATTTTCCTTCTTTCTCAGATTCACTCCATTTCTCGGTGGCAACACTAACAAAGAAAAGATACCCACGAACGAAAAGAAAGTTCCCCACAAACGTTCAATTTTCTGTGTATTCGTCGCGTCTTTAGGATTTTTTCCGCAACTTTTCTTCATTAATGTCTCATTTGAATATGCCAATGTGAAATGGAGTGAATTTGAGAAAGAAAGAAAATCTGACCATTCTGTACAGAACTAGGCTGAGAAAAAAGGAAGAAAAAACGGAGGGCCGATAACAGGAAAGTACCGATAAATGTTTAGTCTGCAAAATTTTAGAAAAAAAACCTCCATAAGTATGGGAACATTTGGCTTATGAATATGGTATGTTGGTGCAATTGACATTGTAGTAAATAGACAGACAGTAAATCTAAATTATAAAAATTTAAAAGCATAAAAGAAATGAATTTTGAAGATGAAACCGCCACAGGGCGTAAGTTGACGGTCTAAAAAAGAAAAACAGGTCCACCATCAAATTATGTCTCAGACTCTAAAGATCCTTATTAAAAAGAAAAAAATGAATTGTCTAACTTCTCTAGCCTGTACTATTCCCTCTATATTGATTGGATAAATTTTCATTTATTGAAAATAAACAGAATGCCAGAAATTTAAATTTTAGACGCCAAACCGACATAGACACACCGCACAGGCAATTATGATTGCTTTTAATCAGGGATCGTTTCGCTTACTATGGTTATTGTTGCTGTTGCTCATCCTTGCTCGTCCATTTTCTCTTTTGTTGGTTGTCATCCATTGACCAGTTGTTGCAGATCCATCCATTCATTCCATTTGACCTGTATTGCTAAAATCTCAGAAAATCTCAAAATATTTAGACGATTGAAAAATAATGAAAAAAAAACAAAGGACAAGGACAACAAGAAATAAACAAAAGAAAGGGGAGCTCGCGCGCATATTTTTAGCTTTTGCAATTTTTATTTAAAAATTGAAAAGAAATTTACCATGTTGAGTTGAGGAAGAGGCCACCATGTTGACGTCCGGGAGTTGCTGGAGTTACACCTGGCTGAAACTAAATCCCCTCCCACCATTAATTTTTTAATTAAAAAATCCCCCCACCAACAACCACCATAAGGCCACACAGCAGACCAACCAGCTCCATCCACGTCAGGCCACACAGCAGCAAGAACCACCAACATCCACCATCTGGCCGAGAACAGGCCCTAAAAGCAAAAAAATCTGTATAACTAAAAAACAAAAAAAAAACCTTTATCCAAACCCTCCACAAGTAGCAGGTCCACCAACAGCAGACACATCAGGCCGAGAACAGACCCTAAACAAAAAATTCAAAAAATTCTAAATACTTAAAACAAAAACCTCCATCCAAACCCTCCACCCTTAGCAGGTCCACCAGCAGCAGTGCCACCATGAAGAGGGCTATAGCCCTGAAAAATACCCCCACCCCCATTTTTTACCCCCTAAAAACAACCAAACCACTCAGCCACCATAAGAGCTGCAACCAAAGCACATCAGGCCAGAGCAGGCCTTGTCCAAACCATACATGTTGGCGTCCACCAGTTGCTGGAGTTGCACCTGCAATTTCATATTTTTAGAAAAAAAATCTTAAAAAAACAAAAAAAAAACGAAAAAACCATAGCCACCATCAGCAGCAATGGAGTCGAGCCTACAAGTTAAAAAATTTTTTCAACGTTAGAAATTCAGATTTTTATATTTTTTTTTATTAAATTTTTCGCATGCGCAGCAGGGGAATACAAAACAAATAAAAAACATATGAAAAAAACAAAAAACTTCAAAAACACGACCTCCGGAGGTTTTTACATTTGTAGAAAATTTTTAAGAAAAATTTACTGTTTAGTTTTGTAAGTTGCCGCATCTAATTCTTGGCATAATGTTTTATTCACTTTGAGTCTAATTGTAAGTTTCTTTCCAGCAACAGCATCCAAATACTCAATTATTCTTTTTAAAAATTTTTAAAATTTTTCTTCAGGAATTTTTAAGGACGTATTTGATGAGTTTTTTTTTAATTTTTTCTCGTAAAATTTTGTATTTTTTAAGATGGACACTGTTGAGGAGAAAAGTGAAATTTCAAGAACCATAGAAATTTTGAACGCTACTAATAGTGTTACGTTAGATATACCCTTACCTTCAAATCTTGATTCAGCAAATGATGATCATACTCCTATTGATGTACAAAATAACACCAATAAATTGAATGCACATTTTTGCGAACATATTGATCAGCTAAAAGGACAGGTTTTTTTTAACTTTTTAAGCATATAAAACTTATTCTTATTCAGTGTAAGCAACGGGCTATAAATGGCTTTGTCTATTGCATCAGGCACATACTTTTGGATCCAAGTGCTCCTTACAGGTTTTGGAAAATTTTTAAAACTAAATTTTAAAACGACTAAATTATAGGCAATGTCAGCATAAAAGAAAGCCAAAAAGTTTGAATTTATTGTAATTTTATAAAATTAATTTTTCATTTATTTAGATAAACATGATCCTCCTGATGTGAGTTCCAAAATTAAATTATTATTTTTAAAATAACTTGTAATTAAGATAAAATAAAATATTTAGGCCCTTTGCACTAATGCTATCCGTTCAGCATCTTCAGAGATCTACTGTTCAACCCATCTAATAATGAAAGGATTAAAGGATCCTAAATTGTCTCGGAAAGATTCAAAATTGAACAATAGTGTAAGATATATTGAAATTAAATTAGTTTATTTTTCCAATTTCCAGTCGAAAGCTTCAAGCTCTCTAGATTTAGAAGACATGTTAAATTGCCGTAAATCACAACATCCTCACAAATCTTCACAACTCTTTCACAATTGTATTATTTAATGGGGTAATAGTGTCGTTTCCCAGCCCCCTTTTTTTCCTCCCAATTTTCTACCCTATGTTTGTACGGAATGGTCAAATTTTCCCCTTTCTTTCATCAAATTTGCCTTTCCATATTTTGCCTAAAAACAATCAAAAAGATTAATTTGTGATATTTAAATAAGTATTAGAGTAATGAGAAGAATCATTTTCCCAATTAATAAAAATGGAAGAACTAAAGAATTTCAAACCTATTGATTTATATGAAAAATTACGTTTGAGTGATAATGATTTCGATGCATGGCTTGAGAAGCTTGGACTTCTTCATGGAAAGAGAACTTGCTACAAATGTGGGGGTCGAACAACAATAAGTGTTAAGAAAGACGAAAGATATGGATGTTGGCGGTGTACAACCAAAAATTGTAGAGCAAGACAAGGTTCTTTTTTTTTTAAGTTTTTTTAAAAAAATCTTTACTCTAAGGTTATTTATGTGGTACCTTTTTTGAAGGTACGCATCTGACCACAAAAAAGGTTTTGATTGTTTTTAGGCAAAATATGGAAAGGCAAATTTGATGAAAGAAAGGGGAAAATTTGACCATTCCGTACAAACATAGGGTAGAAAATTGGGAGGAAAAAAGGGGGCTGGGAAACGACACTATTACCTTTAATGGAATTTTATTTTTACTCTGTTTTTTCAGCAGTTGTTGAAAATCTACAGACAAAGGATGGCGGACCTTACCGTGAAACAATTCCATGGTCAAACATATCTTTAAATCGACAACACGATTTGGAAAATATAGACAAGAGAAGGGTAATTATAGCTTTTAATTATGGCCTTGCTGATTAACTGAACTATTTTAGTCGGATAATTTTTATCCTCTTGCTGACCGATTACTAAGGTCACCAACTAGACAGCTTAATATCGAGCCTTCTACGTCATACGTATGTATACTCTGTTTTTTCTAGCTAATTTCAGGATCCTTTTTTCAGGGAAGTGAAAATGATAATATTGGTTGCAGGTTTATATCTTTTGCTAAAATAAAATTGAATTAAAAACGTTTAAGCCAGGATACTTCGTTTTGTATCAGTAAAACATATCCCCAACTATCTGCCAAGCTTTTACACAGAGAAACGCATATTTCTGAAAAACAGGTTGATTTTATATTCTTATAAAGCAATCCATACTATCTTTTAGAACACGCGTGATGAGTGCATAATTTCTAATGGGCCTAATTCAAATTTTATGACACATAAAAACATTTCAACTGAAGCCAAATTAATGAAGTCTCCAGAAAGAAAAATAGTTTCATCGAACGAATTTGTTTCGCATTATTCGATCAACAATTGTCAGACGGTTTTTTTTAATTCTAAAAAATAATCTATCTATTTTATTAGCTTCCTGAAATAAGATCACATCAAAACCAAAATTTAACAGAATATGATTTTCCGGCATCTACATTTAGTAGCAATCTTTCCTCATCTCTTTACTTTATAAATAGTGAGAAAATACCTCGACATTATGATATAGATAGATTGGAACAAAAGTTGGCTGCTGAAACTGAGGATGAGAATGAACTAGTCAAATTTCAACGAGATTATGCAAATGATTTTGATGCTAATTTTTCAACGATGAAACGAAAACAAAAAGTAATAAAACTGCGACAAAAAAGACAAAAAGTGCGAATAGACGGTGTTTTCAGAAAAGTACGGGCGGTTGATACAATGTGTCGGGTTGTGGAGAGCTATGATTTTGACTGGACCGATCTTTTTCCATTGGGTAAATATTTTTCTATGATTTCTAATTAGTAAGAATTTATTTTTAAGGACTTGAACCTTCTGATGACGAGTCCTCTTCAGATGATTCTTTTCCTTCCTTTGATGACGACCATCATGTCCAGAGATGTTTCGAAATTTCGATTTTCGATTTTCGTTTTTCGATTTTCGAGGTTTTTTTCCTTTCGATTTTCGATTTCCGATTTTCGAAATTTTGTGATATTTTCGATTTTCGATTTCCGAATTTTTGAAAAATTTGAATTTTTGGCGCCAAAGTGGAGGATTTTTGGCTTATTGGCCATCATAAACTTAAAAAAATTTTCGCCTGCGGCGCAGAAAAAGGAAGATTTTTGGCTTCTTGGCCTTCCAAAATTCTCAAAATTTTTGCCTGCGGCGCTGAAAAATAAAGATTTTTGCCTTAAGGATCATCAAAATTTTCGCCTCCGGCGCAAAAAAGAAAGATTTTTGGTTCTTAGCCTTTCAAAATTCTCAAAATTTTCGCCTGCGGCGCTAATTGGAGGAAACCCTGATCTATTAACAATATTATGCTTCGGCTCCGGTATATTGGAGTATTTGCTTGAATTAAGGTGGGATTGGAGGGAGCAGGCCATTTGGAGGGATCAGGCCAGATGGATGGAGCAGGCAAGTTGGAGAGAGCAGGCCCCTTGCCGGAACCCTATGCCAGGTACCACCTTATGAGTTTACTCAAATCCTCCGTTATCCCTCTTAACCCACACAGATCTCAGGATTAAATATTAATCTTTACACTCGGAGTCTGGAGATAACAAGAAGCCGCTAGAAAATCACCGGCTCTGGAGCCAGGATCTCAATCTGATATGCAAAATTTTGGGTTTGGATATCCGTGATTTCCTTGGAATCCCAAATTCCTTAGAGTTCAAGCAAAAGTTCCAACTTGTAACATAAAAATTTATTTTTTTATTTTTTTTATTAAAAAATTTTTTTTCGATTTTCGTTTTTCGATTTTCGATTTTCGAGGTTATTTTTCTTTCGATTTTCGATTTTCGATTTCGAAGATTTTGAAAAATATTTTCGATTTTCGATTTCGATGTTTTTGGATTTTTTTCGATTTTCGATTTCCGATTTTCGAAGATTTTTTTGTTTCGAAACATCTCTGATCATGTCTCCAATTCATTGAATGATAACAAGCACTCAAGAAGCAGACTTGAGCTTTATTTGCTTAAAAAGAAGCTGAGGCTTGAAAGTGCTAGACTTGTTCAAAGAGCAAAACTCTGTATTCCAATTAATATGGCTGCCAAACATTATGTTAATTATACGGGAGCAGCACTACGAATACGAAGAGTAAACAAAGGCCGAGGAAATTTTGAGGGAAAGATACGAGAAAATCGCTTCAAAAAGTGTGCGCAGATTTTGCAGCATCAGGTTAGCAATCTTAAAAAAATTTTCACAAAACAAAAATTTAGATCACTAGAGACGGTAAAAGGCATTTGTTTAACGCTCGTTGCCAAAATTTCTGTTTACCCTGGGCTGTATATTGTGCTGACCACATTGCTTATAGTGTGACACAACAACTATTTGCTTATTGCAAGTGGCGATTTTGTAATGTTGCTGTACCAGGTTTTTGGTTTTACTAAACTTGATTACACTAAATTCGACTATAGCCACGGATGCTCTACTCTTTGAGGGATTTTGCAGGCGCCATTACTTGGAAAAACAAAAGATGTCACAGAATTTAAATTCTGGCCATTCAAATCAGGTAGTTATTCTTTCGTTTCTATTGTATTACATTTTCGATTTCAAGGACGCGCCCACACAATTTATGAGAAGAGAACTATCCGGATCAGTCTTAATTGCAAGAAATTTATGTGAAAATCCACCAACGGGAACGTTTCCGGGTATAATTTTAAAATTTAACTAATCTTCACAAAAATATTTAAGATGATGCATACCCATGTACAAACACGAATAGAGATGATCATCTAAATGGTATTGATATCTTTTTTTAATTTTATAACTTAAAAACTTGTTAGTTGTTGATGGTGACGTCTCGCTGGCATCAGTTGCTAAAGATCTAGGATTCGATGGTCGCGAACTCACGGATATGCTTGAGAGGTTGCCCGTCGAAGAAGCATTTGAAGGTGAAATGGAACCTGATGACGAGAATTTTCTAAGTAAGTAAAAACTCAATACGTGTATAATTAATTTAATTATGTTAGACGGCGTGAACAAAGATGATTCTGATGAAGTACCTCCTGGAATTAGCTTGGGACACAGTTGGGCAGACGTGGAACAATTTTTGTTGGAACAAGAACAACAGTCAATATCTGACGAGTCCACCCCTCAGTTTTGACGTCTAACAACGCACTTAAGAAATTTTTCTAGAACACAGCCGACCAAAATATTGATTAATTAGCTTAAGTTTTTATCTTATGATTAGGAAAATATGGCAGATATATGGCCGAGTATATAAAAATGTAAAATATGAAATCACAAAATTATATAAATTAGGAGGTCTTTGATATGTAAAATGTCTTTATTTGAAAGTCAAGTGCGAATGGTTGCTTCCGGGTGATTGTATAGATACCAGTCGTGGACGTACATCAGAATCGCCATCGGTTGACCCAAAATAAGCGAAAGCCAAACAATAATATTCCCAGCTCTACCACCCTGGAAAAGAGTAATGTTACTATTAATCATTCGAAGCCAAAAAATGAAAAGAACGCACTCTCACATATCGATCAGTCACTATTCCCAACGGAAGCTATAAATGTTTCAGATGATTAAAAATTATATTTGAAAAATATTTACTTGTAGAAGCATGGCAGCACAAGCCCAGAGGCGAAACATTTTCAACGGGATGGATATCTACTCGTTTATCAAAAATTGTTTTATTGCTAGAAAGTAATTACCAAATACTCGTGAAAGAAAGCCGATATAATAAAAACGACAAGAGCGGAGACATTGCGACTTACTCCGTTGCGAACGCAAGGCCTTTAAAATTAAATAGAATTTTTTCGTTTAATATACGGCTTGAAAAACCTGTAAACGTGCCGGAGCGCCCAGCGATGGACAGGAATGTTCCATGTCTTCCAAAACACACTCACAGACTCTGAGTTCCAAAAGTCCCTAGATTTTGAAATTATTTAAATTAAATAGAACTGACACTCACAAATAGAACTGACGATCACCAAATCGCATTATTTCCGCAATTAGGTTGAGGAAAGAATGAAAGTAAAGATAAAAGAACATGAGCCATATAAGATGGTTAGGGATAGCCAGCTTTAAAACTCGTTCAATGCATCGTTTTAAGTCAAGTTGAGAAAATGGTGCCAAACTATTCTTTACCAAAGGAATCACCCACTGTTGACAAAGAGCAACACCAACAAAAGAAAAGCAGATCAACTAAAAATAAAACAAATAAAAATCATTACTTGCAATTAACCTCTGTAATCCTTTTAATAATGAATGTCTTTCTTATTGCTGGTGTCCGTGGAAAGTTCAATTCGTAACAAAGAGTTGGCGCCATCATGTAGTAGTAGAGATTACCCAATGTCAAGTTATTTGGGTATTGGAGTTGAGCAATTGTGTTATTGGCATCATTTACCGGTTTTTTAGTTTCCTCTCGTTTTAGACCCTAAATAAATATCGAAATCTCTTATTATGTTTCATACCTTTGCATGTTGAACATCATTCTCGGTACCGTTCAATGATTTTTTCTTGTCTTTTCTGATCAACCTTTGCCAATAATTAACTTGACCATAAGAAACCAATTTCAATGCCTCTATCACGATTATAATGAGAGCCCAAAATGAGTAGAGCGGGTTTCCATGCTTCTAAAATTTTATTTAGGCAAAATTTGTAAAAAAACAAACTATTTTTAACACCGCTGCTGGAGGTATGGCAAGATGAGCACCAATAAGGAAAACATACACAACAGCACCGGACGCATTATCTAGAAGTCCACGCGCTTAAATAGTTAACAGTAATAATGCTCTACTCTTATTAAAGAAAGCTTACCAAGGAGTTTTTCAATAAAAAAGGCAGTTAATATAGAAACATTTGAGCAAAGTACAATAGTCAAATTTGGCCAACTTCCAGGCGAAGAACTGTCGAGAATATTAAGCCACTCCAATGGAGAAATTAGTATTCCATATTTTATTAGATTTTCAAGAGCAACTCTGCCGTTCGATATAACCTGAAAATTTTTCTAGTTACTTGATAAGAAAAAATTAATTTACAAGTAAAAGAAATGCATGATTGAAAAACCCTGAATAGTTAGTCCAACCCGAGCTAGTGCTGAACAAGGAGTCTTGAGCAATATGTACAGGTTCTTCCATGCTATAACTTTAAAATTGAAAGAAAATTCAAATTCAAACAAAGTATATTAGATCTTAACAAATTCTAAAGAAACACAAAAATTACTTTTAAGCTTTAATATAATTTAAAAAAACATAACAACGTGTAAATCTTCAGTTTTTCAAGTGTCACAATCTATCAAATTAACGGCTTCGATTAACTTTAGACTTGATTTCGAGATAGTCATCATCACCCAAATTCAGAAACAATCCATCAGATGGAAGGAAGACACGATTTGACGAATGTGCAATAGCCTTAGAAATCTTCTGAGCTGCACGAATCTTTAAAAATTTTTGTAGTTAAATTAGATTTAACTTTATAAACCTTGCGAAGCTTGAGAAACCCAGGATCATTTTTCATAGACTCTCCCAACTTAAAAAAGAACAAATTAATTAGAATATTTTTAATAATATTTTACCATTTTTGCCGATTGTGCCTCTCCTTCCGCCTGAACAATTTTCTCTTGACGTTGTTGTATAGCTTTTTCAACGTAGAAACTCGCACGTTGCGCCTCCTGAGCAGCAACCTGTTTTGCTTCAACAGCAGCACTATATTGAGGAGAAAATGCCAACTCGGTAAGGGCCACGTCATCAAGTATAAGGTTAAAGTCCAAAGCACGCTCGATAAGTCCCTTCCTAACTAACATAGAAACTTGTTGACGTTGCGTTATCAGTTGTGATGCATTGAACTTTGCCACTACTCCTTTGAGAACCTAAGATAAAATTACTATATTTAGATAAGCTTGTGTTACCTCATTACAAATAGAAGGGAGTATTCGCTCCTCCCAATTAAGTCCAAGAGTCCTGTAGATTTTTGGCAATTGATTAGGATCAGGACGAGATAAGACTCTTAATCCAATGTTGACCATTTGCAAATCCTTACTTCCAGTTGGTGATCGTATTTGGTTGGGTCTTGCCCGAATGTCATAAATTATAGGATACTGGAATAGTTGTAATTAGGATAAGGACTAGAGAATGTTTAATAATTAACCTGAAACCAAGGAACACGAAAGTGAAGTCCTTCCTTGTATATTTCATTTCCCAAGCCACCAATTCTATTAAAGATTATTGCTCGGTGACCAGCCTCAACTGTAAAAAAACTGATTAAACCGAAAATTTATTTAAAACCTGTATAAATAGAATTAACTATAGCATATGCACTAGCAGCTCCAACTGCCAAAATCCCAGCACCTAATCCTGCACCCTTTCCTCCACCACGTTTCACAAATTTTTCAAAAAGATTCTTGCCAGATTCAGCCATGTCTTAATAAATTAATGGAAGTCACTATAAAGTCAAAAATATTAAAATGTAAAAACATTCCGAAGTGAGAAGTAAAATAAGTAAGTTGATAAATTATAAAATTGAAAACAAACAAAGAAACAAAAATAATTCACTAAAATGAAAACAATTCATCTACTAATCTTCTCTTTGATAGGCCAATAACTCATCATCATTTAAGCCAACTTTATCGGGTTTATCTTCTTTAAGAGAATCAACAACAACTTCCCAGAGCTCAAAAAGTTTCGAATATTCTTTTAGCGTCTCTTTAAATGGTTTCCTATCACGAATGAGTTTTCGTGCAATTTCTTCTCCGAATCCCATGACGTTGAAAAGCAAAACTCCTTTTATTACATTTGTTATTTTGTCAGTATAGAAGACAACTGCACGAGGCTAAAAGTTGGATATTTTAAGAAAAATCTTTCAAGAAAAAAACAACCTCATCATTAGTTAACTCCAAGTCACTCTCATCTACAGCGTATACCGTCGTAGTGTTAAATTTCTTTGCATTTGTATCCCCAATTCCACAAAAGTGTGCGTCTGGACCTAGCATCGACATGAAAGAACCCTAAATTTTATAAATATCCTTGTAATAAAAAGAAAAAACCTGCCTGATGAATGTACGTTTTATTTCCTGAAGTCATATTTTCACCCGCAATTCGTCCTGTAATTTGAGCATGAAGCCAATGAGTACAACGCCTTCTGTAGCCCAATATTCTATCAAAGAATGAACAAATATCACCAGCAGCCCAAACATTTCCTTTAACATGCATAAATTCGTCAGCGATTATTCCACCCAGATCCTAAAAATCTGTTAAAAATGGACTAATATAAAAACGCTTACACTATCCAAGTCAAGTCTAGAATTTTTTGCCAACTCAATTGCCGGCATTGCACCAGAAGCAAGAATTAAATGATCGCACAACAGTTCATCTAAACTATTGGACGAATTCGATGGAGAGTTTTCACTTTCTTGGGAGATTTTTAGACGAACTCGGTTGCCATATTTGTCAGAAACTGCTGAGAATGCATCAATTTTTGTGTTCAGTAAGACGTTCACTCCTTGTGATTGAAGAGTTTGAGTACAATAATCACTCAACGAGCCAGGTAAAATATCATCAAGAACGCCTATAGTTTAAAAATGATCTTGGAGAAAGTTGTTAATCTCAAACCTAGTTCATTAACCAACAGAAATATTCTTAACTTTGATTGCTTTCCGCGAGCATAACGCCTATTAAGTGAGTAAGCCAACTCCGTGGCAAGAATATCACCACCCAATATAACAATATTTTTGAACGATTCACTAGTCGACGCTTCATCATCTAATGAGTTTGCCAATACTTCCAATTTACAATGTAATCTTCGATAATCTTCAATCTATGATTATTATTGTTAGCAACATAAATAAAAAAAAACTAACGTCATAGATAACTGAAATATTTGTTTTAAGTTCTGCATTTTCTTCCAGAATACTTTTATGATGCGGAATACTACCTAAATATTACAATATAAATGATTAAACAAATGTATTCTCACCAGTTGCAATAAGACACTTTCCATATTCAATCTTCCGCCCATCCTGCAGCTGAACAAAATTATTTTCTGCATCGACCTTTTCTACTTTGGTTCCAGTCATAAGAGCAACTCCTCCATGTTCCCATTTGTCGAGATCTTCGGGCAGTAAATAGAAACCATCGGCCTCGTAACAGACGTGTCGACGTTTATCACTACTCGGACTTTGGAACGAAAGACTTGCGGGAGTTTTCTCGTCACCATACCACCATAGTTCTTAAAAAGAAAACCTCACGTCATATAAAACACAAACCTTTGGAAAGTACAGAACGTCGGTAAGGACTCTCTTCTTCATCACTAACAATCAAAACACGTGCATCCGGATCCCTTGCCCTGATAGTTAAAGATGCGTAGTAACTAGCCGTACCTAAACACCTTGGTGAATCAAATCTTATGTTAAATAAAACCTCCACCGATGAGCAAATATGGGACCAAATTAAGACGATGTCTATTCAGTAGATGAAATTTCTGGAATAATCTTCTACAAAGATCCATCAGACCTTAAAAACTGATAAATGATTCATATTAAATAAAATACAAGAGCATTAACTAGAAAAGCAAAATTTAAAACAAAAAATCATTTATAAATTTTTAGTTCTCCAATCAATAGAGTCAAAATTAAAATCCGATTCAGTATCATCTACAGGGTCAAAATTTGGATTGTGTTCAGATTTCGTTGAAGCAAGTTCAATAACTGATTCTTTTCTTTTCTCGAGTTCATTAATTGTTTTCCATCGTTCAATTTGCTCATCAATTAAATCAATGTCATTGGCAGCAGTTGAATGTTCAAACTAAAAATCGAAATAAAATAAAAGGATAAACAAAAACCATTGTAGTTTGTTCATCATCCTTTTGATCTTCTATCTCTTCAACTTCCTTGTAGAACCGCTCCAATTCGGAATTGATTTGTTTCGTTTTCTCAACAGTTTCGCGAACCTAAATCTGACAATTAGCTTAATAAAACAATAAAGAAAAAACTAACCCTGTTATTCATTCCATCATCATCGAAGAAACCCCGAGGAAGTCCTTCAATAAGTTTGCCTTCTCCATGTAAATGAGAAGGTGGCTGTTCTGTTTTGGAATTATATGCACTCTCTCCGTTAGAGGGATTCTGATCTGAAAGAAAAGCAAAAAGTGGTGGCATAAACCCTCAAAATTCTACTGGGGAAATCTCTCATTTCTAGGTGATTAAAGCAAGCATTATACCTAAACATAAAGGAAATAAGAAACATTATAAAATACCAGTTTTTGACTTTTTACTGGGGCATGATGTTGATATATCCTCAACTGTAACAGATTTGTTGTCATCTAATAATTTCCGTTTTGCTAATATCGAAGTATGTGAATCCTTTGATTGTGATAAAACCTCTCGGTGCTTTCTACTATTTAAATGCGCTGTGAGTACCTGAATTATATAAATGTAAAATGAAAAACAAACTTTAATTACCTTGGTTTTAAACTGTAACGAACAAATATTGCAGTAAGAATTCCCATTTTTTAAATCTTTTATCACTTTTGAACGCAAATGAGAACCCATAACAGCGAAAAAGATTTTTGGAACAACTATCAATAAAATCTGCAACAAAACACAAAATCAAGAAGTTCAATGCCGGTTTTTTATTTCTTGAAAGAATCATAATTAGTTGACACTTTAACATTCACTAATTTGAAATCAAAAATTTTAATTTTGGTAATCTGTTGCTAATGACAATTTGTCCCATTATAGAGAGACTATTGAGAGAGAAATAGAGTACTTTTTATTGGGGACTTTTGAGTAGGAGAAAAAAGACAATCAAATACTTGTGGTGTTCTTTGATTTTGTCGATTTTCACATTTATGTTTTGTATTTATTTTGTTCTTCGTCATCCATTTTCAAAATTTTTTACATTATTCTATACATTTTTTAGGTGTACGTCATCTCCATGCCGCCGCCTCCACCTCCACCACCTCCTCCCGTACCTGCTAATTTTGCAAATCAGGTACCTAAAATGACGGAGAGTAGAACGCATTTATTGAATGAAATACATCGTGGAGCTCGTCTTAAAAAGACTGTTACGAATGATCGATCTGCGCCAGTGATTGCAGGTTAATTTTTGATAATACATGCGCAATTTAGCTTTAATTTTAAGGAAAAACTGAAGATAACAGACCGAAAATAAATGCTGTCCCTAAAGCTGCAACAATAAATGAGAGTCTTGGGGCCTTGTTTTCAACTGGCGTTCCTCGTAAACCAAGTGATGTCAAAGGTCAAAAATCGTCCGGTTTGATTTCTACTCCAGTATCAGATAGTCGACCTGTCATGGCAAAAATTAAATTTGTCAATGAAAAGGATGATGTGCCTTCTGTCAAATCTTCGAACAATTGTCCTTCTCTAGCCGATCTGAAAAGCAGGTATATCTAATTGTAACGGGGTTGTTTGTTTTTTGCTTATGAAAATTTTGACATATTTAGGAACGCATCGCAAGCAGTTTCTTCTGCTCCCTCTCTACCACCACCTCTTCCAGCAAAAGTTTTAAAGCAAAATTCTGCTGCTGAACAACTTGATCTACAAGTATCCAGAGCGCCCATTTCCCAGAATGCACAGTTTCAGACTCTACGTCCTGCAAAAGCCCCACTAATTTCTGCTAATTCTGGTCTGCGTCGAAGCTTTGAGGTTTTGTTTGAATCATTATTTCTTTGACCACTTTCAGGAACTTAACAAACGAACAACGAATATGCCTTCAACTATTAAACGACCTGGTGCTCCACCACCACCTCCGCCACCTGCAAAATCAAGTAATCCGCCACCACCTCCTCTTGTAACAAATATTCAACATCAATCGCAAAACACGGGATATAACAATAAGGTCATTTTTATAATTTAAATCTCATTGTCAACATCCAAACCTTTTATTTCAGCCAGCATTAGTTGCCGAGGCACCTCGGCCGCCGCCTAGAATTTCATCTTGCCAGGAGTCTCTTGAGCAAAGATTCCATTTTGTGCCTATTTCTGAATTGCCTCCGCCGCCAAGGTTTTTTTTTATTTAGTTTTTAGAAATAAGTAAATAAATTTTTTAGATTTATTGGATTTCCTAAAGACTATGGAATTGCAGGAAGAAAACATCAACAAATGACCTAAATTCCATATTATATTTTATCTGGAATAAAATTTTATCTTAAAGTTTTTATTTTTTAGACTTGTTAATTTTCTTGACAAACATTCCTTGTAAAATTTTATTAACTTTATCATTTAGAAAATCAGATGAGTCTTTTGAAAAAGCAGGAAACGGAGGTTGTAGCTGAAACGAGTCTTCGTTACAAGCCTCAACAGCCTCAACACTGGTATTTTTTAATTTTAGTTGGTTTTGAGTTTTTTAACGTTTAGGAAGCGATGGTACTGGTTGGAGCATTCAACGAGGAATCGTTTTCTTGCGAGGCTTAGAACTTTTTGTTTTTTGGTATATCCAGTATGTTTTTATTTTATCTGAATTGATTGCCTTTCATTATTTTAAGGCGTGGGTTTTGACTCATTTGGAATATTACAAACCTGATGAAGAACGAATAAGACGTGCATTTTTAGAAACGGAGCTCAGATCTTTGCACTCTCCCTACGCAAGAATGAAGTCAATGCAGGAACGCGTAGGAGCTTGATATATAAATATTTTTGATGATCATTCTGGATTTATATTTTTTAATTGAACAGGTTTAATTTGTTTTTCTTTTAACATAATTGTGTTGACTATCCCATCGTAAACTTTACATGACCGTGAGAATTTATTTTTCTCTTTTCCTCAATTCCCTAATAGTTTAAAATCTTCAATAAGCACTCGTTTAACTGATCAATGCGTTTGCGATCTTTGATATGGGATTTCCAAAAAAATCTTTAATATTTGAAAAATAAAAACAATTTAAGTCGATTTAGCATTTCTTGTCCTTGGGGTTGTTAAAAAACGGGAAAGAGAATGTGGCAATGGTGTAATTGCAATAAAAACAAGATTGCAGGTGTGTGACCTCGAGGTCCTCTAATTTTCGTTCAGTTTCTTTGCAATTAAGGTTGTGATCTAGAATTGTTCTTATCTTCTTCCAATAACCTAAAAATATTGTTTATAAACTCAAAAATTTATTTAATTTAACGGACTATTCTTTATTTTCTCCCAAAATATTTTTGCCGCCGGCGTCCCTTTCACCACCTTTTTACGACTGTTTTTACTGGCTAGCATATGGGAAAATCTTTCTCCGAGGAAAAGAGGCATTCCGTTCCATCCCTCATTTTTCCTTTTAACGTTGGATTTCCTCGATGACTGCGCCCAAAAGAAATACGACGAGACGAGGAGTAGCACGTTTTATTTCTGTCCACACCTATTTTCTCTTTACTAGTTTTCCGACGCCGAATTTTCCTTATTTCCGCCGCCTGCTCGTATCAACAACACCGTATCTTATATTTCGAATGATCGGCGGCTGTCTTTTGTGTTATTTAGATTGAAACTTGGCATTATAAGGGCAATGAAATAAGCTCAAATATGTTGAATTCACTTTTGATAGTATAACGTTTAATGGTATAAAAATGAGGAAGTCGGAACTTTGTTGTACCTGTTTGTCTTGCACGGATCGAGAGGGTTGATCTTGGGAGGGTTGACCAAGTTGATCTTGGGTACTTAATTTAGGGGGTTCTGAGTTTTTAATTCCACCGATGTAAGAGTGTTCAATAATGACTTTGCTCAGATTTTATTCTGCGCAAATTTAGATTTGAAAAAATTGAGTGTAAGGAATCGATTACAAAAAAATGAATGAATGGTGAGCAAAAAATTGAAAAATGTGTTTGGCCACACACAAAACCTCTTCTTGTACCAGTCCCTCAACGCCTTCCAGCTTTTATTCATTTCCACACATCAAATCTAAAGGTTCGTTCATTGCTTTTTAGTCAATTCCTTTACTCTTCCACTCATCTTTCTGCTAGGAATAATTATCTTGTGAATATTAAACATTTTCCTACTCTTCCCTCAGTTTTCCCTCAAATAAAAGTAAATTGACTAAATAAATCAGTTTAGAGTTTTATCCTTTTCACACCATTAATATCAAAGCAAATGTTGAGAAATATTGCCTCGGGCCATCTTTATTTTAAACATTTATCCTTTTTATGTTTGGGTTTTTTTGAGTTACCGAATTCCTTGATTTGCAAAAAGGTGTCGGAACGAAAAAAGTAAAAAAATCCGCCTGCATTCTTTTGCCAATGTTTGTTTGTTTGGCCGTTCATAGGATTAAGAAATGAAACAAATAAAACTAAAATCGGATTAATATAAAAAAATAGCGAAAAACACCTTTGAAGCAAAAGGGGGTTACCTGTGAAGTAAAGATCACATAATATGTAAATATTTTGGTTCTACATTAAGACTAGCGTCCAATGAGTTTTTATGCGTCCCGTCAGCTATATGCGTCCTATCAGAGTATAATTTACATACCAAAAATAGAATATGCTACTTAATGGTCGCATTAAAGCTCATGTGACGCATGTTCTGAAGTAAAGCCAATATTTTGGCCTAAATAAGATAACTGTGGATAGTAAATTGTTAGATTTTACAAAAGATGTTTGATTGTTTAGTGAGTTAACGCTCACTTCAATGGAGAATTTTTTTAATAGTGGCCAATTCTTTTCATCTTTTTTAAGGTGCGATTATATCAGAAAAAACATAATTGACTTTGAGTTGGCGCGCCAGGTCAAGCGACACATTCTTATTCTTTGTATAATTAAATGTGCCCGAAAAAGATGCTGATAAGCTATTGGAATTGTCTACATGTTTTGAGTTGTGATTTTCTTTTAAATTTTAAGAAATATTAAAAATTTCGAAGTTTGAAAGAATTTTGAAGATCATATTTTTGTTCCAAATGATTAATAATGAAAGGAAACGTTAAAAAAGAAAATTACTATTTATAAACGTACATAGGTGTGAGAAGCAAGGCTTTGTGAAGCACCTCGATCCAACCACTCAACTATCAGCCAATCACGGTTAGGGGCGTATCTTCACCTTTTTCTATCTACTCTTTTTTCATTTCACCATTTCTTCGTCCAACCACTTTTGAAGGGAGGAGTTCGAAATCAAACAGTCATCAACAACCCTTTTCTTTCGTCCCGTTTCCCTCATCAAAACTATCCATTTCAATTCTTTTCATCTAAACACCGCACTTTCCACCACTAACTGTGTTCATAAATATTCATTGTGTGCGCATCACTATTTGGGGTCATAAATGCGTTAAATTATGGGGAGGGAGAGACAATTCCGTAAATCTTTCAAACAATAAAATATTGCCTAGCTTAATAAAAAACAAGAAATTAATCTTTACGGCATTAAAAATTTAACAATCAATCGCCGCGAATCAATTAACCCCTTTCCAATCCACACATTAATTTTTTAACTACCCTCTCCACCGTTTCCCATGCATATTTTTGTTGCCCCTCCTCGGTCGTCAAAATTTATTTCCGTGCGAATTAAAAGATTGTCTGTCAATTACTGGTTGTCCTCCCTCATTCTAATTCATTTCCTACATTCTTTTATCATGTTTTGCTGCTTCTTTTCAGCTTCTTCTCATTCCAATGGTTTCGATAGCCTCAATGAGTCCAATTGCTTCTTCAAGCTCCCAACTTCAGACTACAGCAATTACTCATTCGACAGATCCAAATTGTCAAGCAGCCTTACTGAATAGCTTCAAAACAGAATTTTCCTTACCAAATGGCAGCACTTTTCAATCTCCTGTTGCTATACCTTCAGCACATTCTGCCTATTCAAATGTTACTAATCCATGGGCCAATTCATTAGTTGCAGCAGCAGCCCTTGGCAATCCTACGAATGAAGGTGAGTAAATTTTGGATAACAAAATAGTTAGATTAATCACAAAAAATCTCCTCTGCCTCTAGATATTCGTCCACTTGTCGGCGCTCAACAAATGTTGGCTGCAGTACAACCACCTTATAATATACCGGCTACATATTATGGATTCGGCGGAATGGCTGCTGTCAATCAATGTTGGCCAAATGTTGCCGTCGATTGGATTGGTCAGCAATCGTTATCAACAGGTTTAAGCAGTTCAAATGATCTCCATGATCAACCTCAACATTCCCAGCATTATGATAACGAAGCTTCAACAAAGTTGACCGACAAAATGATGGAATGCAAGCAGCTTTTACTTTTAAAATCTGATGATGGAGAACAAGCAACATCAAAATCAAAAATGGAGCCACAACTAAATATTAACTCTAGGAATGAGCCTTGTGGAAGCAGGACCATCAGTAACAATGAGTCAACTGATTTTCAGTCACCAAGCACAAACATTCCTGAATACGGTGAGTTTATTTTTAGACCCTCTGGGTTTTATTAAATAAATTTACTTGTGTTTAGTGGAAAGGGAAAAAGGGACACGATAGCGGTAACATCAAAGAGCGTAAAAAGAAAATTGGATTGGTTTTACTTAGCCTGTGTAAACGTGTGTACATAAAATGATAAGAAAGTGCGATAAAGAGGAGAACATTGATCAATAAATGAAAGAAAAAGAAATGCCGTAGCGGTTTCCATTTAGTTTTCTCAGTGTTAATACTGTAATGACCGATAATATTGATAGGATTTTAATGGGATTAAGGCTCGAATGACAAATTAGAGGGAGAGCAATACCTTGTTGATTTTAGTAAACTCTCAAACCTTTAACTTGAACCTTTAGGATTTGATGCATCTTCGGCAGCTGAATTCTACTCCACTCATTTAACGTCTCATGATCAAAGCCAGACTACCAATTCTATCATTCCATCTTCAGCTGCAGCCGCTACCGCTGCCCAAACTTGGCAATACTCACAACAATGGCAACATTATGCACAACAAGTTGCAATGGCAAATGCGGCTGGCGCCGCAATTTGTGCGGCAGGTGCCGCAATGCAACAACATTATGGTGCTTCCGTCAACTCTGGAAACACTGACGCAATTAATGGTGTTTGTTCAACGGCCAATCTATTTAACGAAGCGGAAGCTAGCACTAGTGGCACAGGTCCGATTTTTTTATAAATTTGTTAACAAATATCTAACTATAATTGCTTTTATCTTTCGAAATAATTTTTCTTTATTTCATTAGTTTTTTTCAATTCTCTCAAATTTTTGAATCAATAACAGCCCTTAACTATTCTGTTTATTCACTGCTGATCTTAATTTCATGTTTTGCCTTTTTTTATTTTTTTTCGTCAAATTTTACGATCTTCATCCATAGTAGAATACAAAAGCAGACGGAGAGGGAAAGGAGGGTGCGCCCATAAACAAAGAAAAAATAAAAGGGAACCTTTTCACAATATGTGTGTACGGTCCTCCAAGGTTGGCATCGGGAATGAGAATAAAATGATGCATGCACATACAACAACACCCAAAGGATTGCCCCAATACCTCAATGCACTAATCCTTTCTCTCTTCAATTCCACCGTAACAACCTTTTTTTTTACTTCGCCTAAAAAATTCTCCCTTCCACTGACTTGCAAACCTTTTTGTTTGGCAGGCAATTTGTCCAAATCGACAGCCGAATTAGGCTCAAGGGAATATTGAGATTAATAGATTTAGGAGGACGAGAATTAATTTATATCCTTATCGGAATCGATGGTACTGGTGAAATTTTTGAGAGAAGTAGGTGGGGATTTTTGGAAATACGCTGGAGTTTGACGTTTTGCCTTTCGCCGAATTTTCATTAGCACCTTCATCTTACTTCTTTTTCCGCATCTGCAATACATATTCTAGAGATTTTTATTGAGTTTCCAAGTAAAATTCAAATTCATTATAATTCTATATAACATTTTCAGTTTTTCAATCGGCAGAAAATAACCGCTCTTTACGTTCTGATTTGGCTTGGGTATCAGCTTGCGGATCAAGTCAACGAAAAAAACGAAAGCCTTATGGCAAAGGTCAAACCAATGATTTGGAAACGGTAAGTTCAATTAAGCATAATTATGATAAATTATGCATATGAATTTGGCATTAATAAATCATTATTATTAAAGGAGTATTGCTCTAATCCTTACGTAACAAAACAAAGGCGTTATGAATTGTCGCGAAGATTGGGGCTAACTGAAAGACAAGTGAAGATTTGGTTTCAGAACAGACGGATGAAAACAAAAAAGTAAGAATTGGGAGAGAGTACTAAATACCGTAAACTTCAATAGAAGCCCATCCCTAATAGAAGCCCGTTCCATGTTAGAAACCTACTCAATAAGGGGTATTGAAAAATAGAAGCCCATAGCTTCTATCAGAGATTTTACGTTAATTTATCTTTGTTGAATATTATTTTTATAGGCTCAAGCATAGAGGTATTAATGATCACCCTCATTCGACTACTCCAACACATTGGGCAACATTACCAAACTCAAATGAGGTAAATAGATAAGGGAGAACCGAACCGAAATAACTTCAATTTTAGCAAAGAATAAATGCCCAGCAGCTCCTAGGTAGTGGTCCTTTTACCCTAGGCCTGCATCAAATTCACGGAATTGGAGGAATACAAGATGAAGATTGAACAGATTTTTTTAAAAATTTTCCACTAACATGCATTATTTAATTTTGCATACAGATAACCCAAAAAAGTTTATCATATTAGATTTCAAATGTTTGTACCTATTTGGATCAGATATCATTTAGTATCAGACTTTCTGATATCAAATAGGGGTAGGGGCGAAAAAGCTTAATTTAACTGGGTTTATTTATGGAAACTTAGTTACCTATATAGCTTAACAGATTAATTCTTCTCAAAAGCAGATTAAAATTTTTGGTACTTTCTAACCTCCCCGACTCTATATGATTCCCCAAAAGGAAAGATTAATTCTGAGACTCAAAAAGGGTGGGGGTATGAATAAAGTACCAAAAATTTTTTCGATTTTTAACTCAGTTAAAAATTTTTTACTATTTTCTTACATTAATATTTAAAAATTTTCGATGCAACTATATCTTTAATGTAATATTATGTAAAGGTGCATAAGTTTATTTATATATTTTTGCAATTGTTCTTATTTAACAAATTTCTACACGTCGATAGGCGGCTTATGGCACAATAAAGAATGAAGCAAGTCGGGTGCCAGCTTGCATTAGAATGTGGGGGTAAGTGTTTGTAAAGTAGAAGAGAGAACAAAATTGACAGAGTATACACGTCGCTAAACTAATGTTTATGCCATGAAATTCTCTAGCTTTATCTTTTGGCATTAGCATTGCTTGCCTGGCTGGCATTTCTCACTTCTTTTCAGTCCAGTGTTTTCAACTTATTTCTCTTTTTTGCTTCTGGGCAATCGACTCCATCCAAATAATTCAGATGTTCCTTGGGGTTCATTAGATAATTACAAAAGTTTTCTTATTAGAAAGTATTCTTAGTTTAAAAATATTCCTTGAATTTGTCCATAATCGAAATTATTTCTCAATTATCATTTGTCATTCGTAAACTAGCGAGAACCCCTCTTTTATAATCCGCTCACCTCCTTTTTAAGAAGGTTTTTGTTGTAACGAGGTGAGCCCACTCCTTTCTTAAGAGGTTATAATTTTGGTCCTTTCATTTCATAAAATTATTTTACGTTTTTCTCATATTTTATTTAATTTTTGTTAGCATTATAGGGAGACTTCATCATGAACACTCCTTCCAATATGGGACAACAACAACCAATACTTAGCAAGTCAGTGACCACAACGGTTATGCACGCTTCGCTAGGATCGCTTAGCCAAGGCAGTAGCTTTGCAAGCAGCGGTGGAAGTTGTTGTTCCTCGACGCGTACAATCTTGCCAGCAGCTTTAGACGAAAAAAGAGATTCAGGAGGAACAGAGGTTTGAAAGAATTTTTATAAAATCTATTTTATCCCAATTAAGGAGCTCTCTGATTCAGTGGCGCCCTTAAAAAGTGCTCGTCCAACAATATCTTGTCGTGGGCAGTTATCCAGTAGAAATCCTTTATTGGCTATCGATTCACCTCCAAATAATGTTAATCAGAATGGCTTCTACAGAACAACAACAATTTCTGTTGTTAATGGCGCTGGATTGTTAAGCTTAGGACCTGAACAGAAAAGTCGTTCCTTGAGTAATTTGGAAATTCAGCAACAAAAACAAAGGGCAGCTGACAACAAACGTAGTACTTCTCCTTCTGTTCCAACTCGATCTTCGCATTGTACATCTTCTGTAATGCCAAAATTGCAACGGCAGCATTGGAAATATGGTAAAATAAAAATAATTTTTTTAAATATCATAAGGGCTTTGCATTTTATTAAAAACTAAACTAAAATGTTTAGCAATCGAGAAGCCCAGAAAAGGAAAAAAAGTTAGACAAATTTCGATCAATTTTGCTTGAATAAATATAATTTCCTTATTCTATTCAAATAAATATAAAACGGCGATAAATAAAAAAATGATCGAAGAAAAGAGTCGCGAGATTCTATTTATGTATTTATTTAGCAAAATTTTCCCAATCTAAATTTAAAAATTAAAAGGCTCCCTCCGCCATCTTCCATCGGGTGACAACAATTCTATTTTTCGCCAAGCCAGTACAACAAAAGAAGTTTATTATCCAACTGGAAGCAAACTGCCAAATGGTTTAAGGCTGGAGTTGGGAGGGAGTGGAGAAGGAAAGTTAACAACGTCTGATTCTGGCGCTAATCACATGGTTAATGAACGAATTTTAGCAACAGAAAGAAGCTATGGGCGTTCAGAAGAAAGTAATGATGGAAGCGTTCAAGAAGAAGATGAAGATTTACTAAAAGAAAGTGAGGTCAACATAGATAGTCATAGAAGACTTTTCCCACGTCAGCAAGAGATTATAGCCATAGAATCAACGGTTAGTTTTAATGATAATTTAACGAAAAGTCAAAAACAATTGTGGGAGTGGGTAAGGGTTTGGCTGCTATTCTGCAAACAATTTCGTAATTTTAACTTCCTTTCTTTTACTTCTACTCATCCTCCCACGCACAATCGAACAAAAGTATTGTAAGGGGTGACAATTTAATGATAGCGTCACTGATAGGACAATAAAAATGGAATATATAAAAATAGGTTCTTTATGATCCTAGTTCAAATTTGTAACCTATCCTTGATAATGAGACTTCTTTTCCTAATGGTAAGCAATTCTTTAACAAATTTTTGGCAATATTTTTGGGAATGATTTAGTAATAAGTGTTAAATTTTGATCGATAGGGTCAGAAAATTTCAAGTGTTATAATAATTTCGATGAGGTGCTATATGCTTGACGTCAAGTAAATAATGAAAATTGTTTTCTTTCCTCTACGCGCCCTATTATAAGAGGAACTGCAAACAAATCTTTTGAGGAAAAGGGTGGTGGTAAAATTATAAAAAATTGTGGGTGGCAAAGAAGATTTGGATGATGAAGATAAGGAATGTGTAAAAGGTAGGCGGGGAACTGATCAAGCCACCTACGCGCGCATTTCCGATTGTAATATATTTTGGAAACCCTGAGACTATAAATTCAAAGCTTCCTCCTTCAAACGAGAGAAAAATTAAAATGTTAAAGGTCTTTTCACTTAAACTTAGACGCAAACGTTTTGCCGATTCTCAGACGGCCCTAAAGGTTCGAAATTAACCTTTAATCATCATAATGTTTTCCTTAAATTTATAAAAAAAATTTCAGCGTAATTCGGATATCCGTCTTCAACAATCCTTGTCTACTCCTAACTCAGCAAATGATCCGTCTATTGCTCTGCTCAATGGAAGTAATGGGGTGGCTAGTGTTGGCAGAAAGGATTCGGAATATAGGCGATTTCGAAGTGAAGGTGAAATTTAAATTAAATTCTTTTGGTTTTTGCAAAAATAATTTTTCGATAACCTTTTGAAGTTAAATTCAAAGTTTTTACTTTTTCTCATGAGACATTCAACAATTTGTGACGCAATATGTCCAAAAACTGCGCGTATTTTGGGGTAATGGACAATTTAGCGAACGTTGTTAGACTATTAATTGTGTGATTTTTGGTTAAAATTAAAAAAGAGAAATATAAGGGGGAAACAAAGAAAAAGTTCTTTATCGGTTGTCTTTTATTTTCCTTTTTCGTAAAATGAACGCAAATGAGGAACTTGCCTGAACGTAAATAATTACTAAATATTTTTATATAAATAAATGTACATATTCAATATAAATAATAAATTATTAAAATACTTTTATTATATCAAAAAACTTGTAAGGGTCAACAACAGCGCCTGCACGTACAGGTGAATTGCCTGTTGATCTTCCATTGGACTCACCGATCATTGACCCTCGTTCATCTCCTCCAAATCGGTTGAATCTTTTCCAGCAGGATACAATGGTTGGCAATGGTCCACTAACTAAACATTCACATACTGAACAAGTTATGATGGTAATTTTAGTTTTTTCTAGACTTAAAAATCACCAAAAAAATTTTTTCTCAGATGCACACACTCAAGACAAAATTACAAAAATATCAGGGATTTGTTGATAAAGCTTTTCAACTAATTGAGCAAGGACCAGATGAGCAAGTTTTTGAGGGCTGTACTATAGCTACAAAGTTGGGCTCTTATCATTTTAAATTATGATTCCTTTCAATTCAGAGTTATGACCAAAGCTTGGGTTTTCCCAAAAATTTCACAAGATTTGGCTCATTCTTTATGTGACTATTTACGTGAGCAAAATTATTTGGAAGTGTTGTTAGGGCTATTTACACGCCCAACAATTTCTGATTCTGTCAGGCTATGTTGTGGACGAGTCTTGGAGGTTACTTTAAATCATAAGAATTTTTATTAATTTAACTATTTCAAAGGAATGCCTAACTGGGAGTAATTGTGATGCATTAATTCTAAAGGGATTTTTGAAAAAAGTAGTGACTACAGCTGAAAAGTTGAATAAAAACCAAGAACAACAACGAATGTCACTTTCATTGATGGAGGCGCTTTTCAAACATTCAATTGAAACTACCAGCAAATTAATTGAGTTAGTAAAAGGGAGGGAGGGAAACACGTTATATTTTAATTTTTAGTATGGGTGTGATTGATCATATATTGTTAACGTGTAAGAGAGCAACTGATACACCGGGAACATTAAGGCATGCGGCATTAGGTGAGAAAATAGAATAATAAATTGAAAATTTAATTTTTATAGCTTTATCCAACCTCACTCTTTATTCTTGCCCAGAGGCTAAAAAGAAATTAATCCAGAAAAAACTGCCCGATTGGTTATTCCTTCTAGCATCTCAGCGTGATGATATTACTCGGTACTATGCTTGTTTGGCTATATGTGTGCTTGGTTCTGCCTCTACCAATTCTAAGGTGATTAACAGATATAGTTTTAAGTAGGATAATGAGTTAGTTTTTTTTTAATTTAAGGAAATGGAATTGGCAGTTGCCAAGTCTGGCACACTCACTCTTGTTGAACCCTTTTTGATCTCTCACCAGCCAGCCATTTTTGCACAAGAAGATTACAAAAATTCGCAAGGTCGGCCTAGGGAATGGTTAGCTAGACTATTACCATTACTTGGATCTCGTTGTAGAGAGGCGAAAAGCATGTAAGCAACTGAGAGAAGGTTAATTCTAAATATTTTGAAAATATTTAAGGGCATCTTTTCATCTTTGTGTGGAAGCAATTACAAAAAAAGAACAACAAAAATTGGAGGTGCTTGCCGAAATTGGTGCGATTCAGGCACTTAAAGAATGTGCCTCAAGTCCAGATGAGTTACCTGCCAAATTCGCAAGTGAAGCACTTACTGTTATTGGAGAGCAAGTGCCTTATAAACTCTCACAACAAGTTCCATGCTGGTCAATTAAGGATGTTCAATATTGGGTGGAAAAGGTTTGAAATAATTTTTAATTTTTCTAAAATGTTGGGACTCCTTTACGAAATATTCTTTTTATTTTCAGATTGGTTTTGGCACTTTTAGCCAAGCATTTGCAGCTCACATGGTGGACGGGGATTTGTTGTTACTTTTAACAGAAAAGGAGTTGGAGGAGGACTTGGGAATGCGTTCTGGTCTTCTTAGAAAAAGGTTTATGCGTGAACTGGAGAGCTTAAAAATAGCAGCAGACTATGGGTTGGTAATTTTGATTTATCTTTAGGAGCATGGATTTATTCTTTAAATTTTAGGAGTGTCGATGAAAGTCATTTGGATCAGTTTTTAATGTCGCTCAGTCCAGAGGTTTGAATTAAGTTCTTTTAAAATTGAATTCTTTTTAGCTTTCTGTTTACACTTATCAAATGTTGGGAATGGGCCTTAATAGAAACTTACTTCCCCAGCTAACTAACGAGTAGGGTATTTAATAAATTAGGAGAAACATTTGCTATATTTTAGTATGATGAAATCTGTTTGTGGCATTAACAATCCAATCCATAGATTAAAATTAAGGCAAGCTCTTCAAGGTATTTTTATTTTTAAAATGATGTTTAACCTTGTTAATTTTAATTTGCGCAGACAGTAAGCACATTGATGACATTGAAGTAGCTATACTTTCGAAGCAAATCGACGTCTTTATTAGGCAATCATTTTAAAAATTTTTAAAAATTTATTTTTCAATTTTTAGTTATCGTCGTTCAACAGGGAACCAACTAGCCAGTTTAATAAAAGTTCTGCTCCAATTAAGAGGCTACAAAGTTTTTATTGATGTTGATAAACTCTATGCGGGCAAATTCGATTCTCACCTTCTCAAAAATATTCAAGCAGCAAAACATTTCATTTTGGTCCTAACTCCTCACTCCTTAGACAGATTGCTCAATGATACAAATTGTGAAGATTGGATCCACAAAGAATTACATTGTGCATTTGAACATGGCAAAAATGTTATTCCGATTTTTGATCAACAAGTAAAAAGAATAAATTTTTAGACTTAACATTAATATTTCTTTATTTTAGTTTGAATTCCCAGCTGTAGAAAGTGAATTGCCAGATGATATAAGGCAGATAACCAGGTTCAATGGTGTCAGATGGGTACATGATTATCAAGAAGCTTGTATAGATAAGGTGGGAACATTTTCCCTTTTAAATCAATTTTTCCTTTTTAAGGTGGAAAGGTTTATCAAAGGAGAACTGAACAGAGTGCCGTCACAATCAGTTTGTTTTTTAATTTAAAAAATTTTTTTAATTCTCATTTTTCAGCTAGCCTGTTCCAAAACCCCTGTTAATGGTGGAGGTACTGTTTCCATTGTCAATCGACGTCCATACAAATTAGCTGGGCCTTCTTCTACAACAACAACTGTCAATCCCGGTAGTAGACGTTGCTCACCTACTCCACCAAACAACGTTGTTAATAATGTACCTCCCAAAATGCCACTTAGAATGGGAGGAGAAAAGAGTGAATTGAACAACAATGTTGGAGGAACTAATTCAGGTTATTCTAATTGTTAAAAAATTTTTAATAATTTTTTCTTCAAGTTCGTTCAGTTCCTACTGAAAGAAGAAGGCCGAAATTATTCTCTTCAATCAGTACTGTCGAAATTGAGCGTTGAAATCAGCAATAGTTCTATGTACAAAATTTTTTATCACTTTATCATATTCTCATGTTTATAGCAATTTTTATATATCACCACCTCTTTCTTTGTGCCCGCCATAGTGCCGTCTCTTCCCCCTTAACTGCCCTTTCTCCCAATTTTTCACCCGGTTTTTTTCTTGTTTTCTCTTTCCAACACAGCTTTATCAGTTAATTAAGAAAAGAATAAATTAAAATGATTTGACCTCGGTATTGGAAAGAAAAAAAGTAGACAAGCTTTTTAATCTTCAAAGAGTTTACCGCCTTTTTTCTTCTCTCGACTGAAACTGCGTAATAAACTCGCATTGTGTCATAGCAATTAAAAAATATACCTATTGACCAGGAGTGTGAAGAAACGGATGTAAAAAGCGAAAGGCGAAACACTAAAAAAGGCGAAAATTCGGCGAAAGGCGAAGGACCTCTGTATGGACCAGGGATCCTGCCGTCCCGATTCCCGAAATCGGAAACTGGTTTTTGTTGGCAGTAGTGCCCATGCTATGGACCTCCATGAGACTTATTCTCTTGTTAATGAATATCGCCTCAAGGTGATTTAATGTGAGATAAAATTTATTTTTAAAAAGTTCAAAATGTGTGTGTGGATTTTATTTTCTGCGCAGATCCTGGTTCCATAAAATATTCTTTAATTTATTTTTATTTTTCATTGTTCAACAAAGATGAATTTTATTAATTAGAAAGAAATATCCTTTATTTAATTATACGACTTTTTTAGTTTAAAAATAAATTCGCCTACCCTATTTCCTATTTTTATTGCTTTTTCGATGCAAATGCAGTGATTTTTTTGATGGTTCCCATTCAATTGCTGTGTTTTTTGGGACGCGGCCTCCTTTACACTGCAAACGGGGAATGCCGTAAAATGTTCTTTATTTGAATACAAAAACATCTACACAAACAATTCTGCCATTTTTCCATCTGTCCTGCCCCTTTTCTGATTTATTGCGCATCGCTTCTTCTTTGTACTATCGGCTGGTAGCCATATAAATATGGTTGTTGGATAGAAGAAACCCTGGACATTTTCGTTCCTAACGTCATTTTGCCCAATATTTTTTGATCAATATACAACAAATACTCTTGACTTTTGTTTTCCTGTTATCAGTAATTTGACTATTTTATTTCGTAATTATTTTCTTCCTTCTCCAAATATAATTGTAATTTCCATTATTAAAAATAGGCACCATTTTATCAAAGAATGTTCAACTACTTTTATTTAATCTTTCTAAAACTCACTTTTAATCTAGATTTCTAGTATTTAAAACCGATAACTAAGAATTAGTTTTTTGTAGTGAAAACTACAGTTTCTCTAAAATCGTAATTCTGAATTGGCTATGAAACCTCCTCTATCGAATATTTCGCAACGGGCGAGTTGAGTGCCGACAGTTAATTGCCAACCAGATTTGATCGTCCATAACTTTTTTGTGCTTGATCAAATCCGAATGAATCTTATATCATTCGAGAGCTCTTGATAAGCAGTATCTTTTCTTCAACTGGATGGATCAGGTCTAACCAATCTTAAGTAAGTTATAACCCGATAAATGTGAAAAAGTCAAATAATTGGACTTATCGGGGTGTAACTTTTTAATGGATGATCAAACTTTATCCATCCAATTTGTAAAAGATACCTCTTATCGAGGGCTTTCGAATGATATAAGAATCATTCAGATTGGGCCATACATAAAAAAGTTATAGCGTATCAAAGCTGGCTGGCACTATAATGTTGGCACTCTAATGGCACATCTGATAGCGAATGGTAAAGCCCGTTTCAGTATAGCCGTTTCAGAATTGGTTGCCATTAAATACTGTTTTTTCGCGTTTTATTTTATCTTAATTTTATTCTGACAATTTAATCCTTGATTCTGTTCCAAATGAACATATTCTCATCACCCGATCCCGCTGTTAAAAAGCTATTAGGCTGGAAATTGGGAGATGAAGAAGATAGATGGGCATTGAAAGCTGTAGACTCTTTGGTAAAGAAGATGCGGAAGCGGAAGAATCATTGCTATGGCACTGTTGAAGATTTGGTGAGGAATAAGCATTTATTATATCTAAATAATTATATTTAAAGGAGTACGCCCTAGCAAATCCTGGTTCTCGTAGCAGGTTTTTTGCTAGTCCTAAAATATTTAATTACTACACAGATGTGTGACAATCCCTCGCTCACTAGACGGACGCTTACAAGTCTCTCACAGGAAAGGATTGCCACACGTGATATATTGCCGTGTTTGGAGATGGCCTAATTTGCAATCACATCAAGTTATAAATTTTCTAATTAATATTTGGACAAGCAATTTTAAGGAGCTCAAAACAAGTGAAGATTGTCTCTTTCCATATGATGCACGAAGTGAACAGGTTGGCATAATAATAGGAGATTACGGGTTACTATCATGAATAAAATTTTAGATATGTATTAATCCCTATCATTATCATCGAGTGGATCAACCAAATACAGGAAAAATAGAACTGGGGCCTATTTCAATTGTCCACAGATTCTGCATTCTGTGCACAGAACACAGATTCTGTGGAAATTCTGTTTCAATTAAATTCTGTGTGCACAGAATCTGTGGTGCCCGCAGATTCTGCGGAAACATCCAATGATTCTGTGGAAACATTCCGCAGATTCTGTGGATGAAAATTTCTGTGGAAAATATAAAAATCTGTGGATTTTTTCCACTGATCCACAGAATTTGTATTTCAATTATTTTTCTGTGGTTCTGTGTATTTTTTCTTCTAAATTCAAATTTTTTATTTCCGCGTTTTTGAAAATAACAGTTTTATTGAAACGAAAAATGGTTTGGACAGTTCGGTACTACCGCAGTATTAATGGTACCTGATTTTTTGAAGTAAAACTTTAAAAATTCTTAAATTAAACTGAAAAATATTGTAAAGATTTAAAAATTTTCCCTCCAAATCACATAACATCCCTTTAAATCTCTTTGATATCACTTTAAAACCGCTGATATACCGCTTAATTTTCTTGTTCATCCAATATCCTTAAATCTCCAATTAAATTAATGTCCTAAAGCAGGGTTCGGATCGGAAAAATCAGGAGATGTCGATCCGACATGTGGCTTTTTCAAACTACGATAGAAGTTGTTGCAAGGGAGGGAAATGTTTGGGGATTGTTTAGTCAGAAATTGAGGTTCCTGGAAATCGAAAATGCCTGGAATCCAAAATTATAGTCAAATCGGAACTTTAAAATCGTAGAGGAGTGATTAAGTGGGATATCCATTGATTTTGAGGTTTAATATATTGGAGTGATTAAGGAGGAAATCTATCATTAAATAGGAGGAGAGATTATGACGGATATCAATGAGAGATCATGGGAGATATCCCAGTATACGCTATACAGATATATTCTATAGATCCTGGTAAACATCCCCTCATTAGAGATATCCATGATGATTAGAACATCATAGCTCTAAATTTCAGAATCTCTCACGTTTTTTATTTTTTTATTGCTTGAATATAACAAAAACTGCGTAAAAAAGATGTACCTTTTTCAAAATTAATTTTAAGCAATAATTTTAGGTAATAAAATTATAATTTTTATATCAAAAAATAGAGAATGATTCAAACTTTAATAATCTTTAAAAATTTTGAAATTTGGTTAAGCCTAGGCCTAGAAAAAAATTGTTAAAGTTTTTCCACAGAAAGTTCGCAGAAAAAATTTTAGGGTGGATTTTTTAAAGAATTCTGTGTATTTTCCGCAGACCACAGAAATAATTGAAACAGAAATGCACAGAATCGACTAAAAAAGCCACAGATCTGTGGATTTTTTTCTGTGCACAGAAAAATAATTGAAATAGAATTCTGTGGTTTTTGCATGTTTTTGGATGTTTTGCAGAATCTGTGGATGTTTCCACAGATTCTGTGCATGTTTCCACAGAATCTGCGGACTTCTTTTTCCGCAGAATCTGTGGAATAATTGAAACAGAATTTCTGTGGTTCTGTGGTCTGTGCACAGAACGCAGACCGCAGAATCTGTGGACAATTGAAATAGGGCCCTGAGCAACAAAATGTCCTTGCTCTCCAGCACTCCTCAACTTCCTCCCCCAAATTCGCTTTCTTCTTTGCTTGGATCAAAAAGTGCTGTATGTGGCTGTGCTTCATCCTCCTCCTGCTCTTCCTCTTCTTCGTATTCTTCATCCTTTTCATCTTCATTCTCTACTGGACAGCCTAATTCCACCTTACAAAATCACCAACAGGGAGGGCATTTGCAGCAAATTGGTCATTTCCATCTCTCACCTTCTGCACTCAGCGATGACGATGATTATTTGTCCCAATTAGTACCTACAATATCCTCGCATTCCATAATCGCTAAAAATACTTATGCTCGTCCACAACCTGTTTATTGGTGTTCCATTTGTTACTATGAACTAAATACAAGAGTAGGGGAGCCGTTCAAGGTCAGAAAATGGAAATTTTCTTATAGAAATACATAAATTTTACAGGTCTCCGTTAATACGGTAGTAATAGATGGATTTACTGATCCTTCAAGTGAATCACGTTAGCCTTTTTCATTATCAGTAAACTGGGCTCACCCTAGAGGTCAACTCCCCATTGGCCAACGGACCCTGAACGTTGTGTGGTCCAATATTTGGGCAGATAAAGGGGATTAGGGAATAGAAGACTGAAATTCTTTTGTGCAACCGTCGAAAAAGGGAGGCCAGCGTACTCTTGATCTCATCTCTCTATCCGTCCAGATCCTATGTCCTCTATCCGTCCGAATTTTTAGTTGGACATTAGGGAGTTGACCTCTAGGGTGTTGATTTCTAGGGGTGGGCCACTAAACTTACCTGAATATTTTCCAGGCATTTGTCTTGGTCTCCTTTCAAATGTCAACAGAAATTTTACGATTGAGAATACACGTCGTCATATTGGAATGGGTTAGTTAAAAATAGTTATGATTAAATCTACTTCTAAAATTTTCAGGAATTCGGCTTAGTTGTACCGATAATGGAGTATTACTGGTTGGTTTTTAAAAGGTTAATCTAATAAAAAAATTTGAAGTTCAATCAATCCGATTCGGCCGTATTTGTACAATCGAGGAATGCAAATTTCAAGTACGGGTTGCAGGCGACAGCAGTTTGTCGCGTGCCTCCTGGCGGGGCATCAATGGTATTGAAGAGATAATGCTTAGAAATTTTTTTCTAAATTTTATAGTTGATATTCGATTATTTGATCTTTGGGGGTGTAAGTTTTCTTTTTGATAAATAATGTAAATGTCCTAATATAAGCCCGGCTCTAATGGAAGCTCATTTCTAATCCAATCTAAGCCCAGTCAAAGGAATTTGAAAAATATAAGCCCAGGCTTATATTAGAACAAGTACGGTGTTTAATTTTAAATATCAGATGCTAGAAAAGGCAAAAAGTGATGGATATCAACACGTTTATGAATTACAAAAAATGTGCTTTGTAAGACTTTCGTTTGTAAAGGGTTGGGGAGCAGATTATCACAGGCAGGTTGGGAAATTTTTTAATTTATCTTTTTAAATCTCCCACAATAAAGGATGTTACATCGACTCCTTGTTGGCTTGAATTACAATTACATCAACCAATGGCGGTAATTTCAAGAATTCCTCTAAGATTTTAATTAAATTTTTCAGTGGGTTGATATGGCATTGTCAGATTTGGAACCGCCAGATCATAGAGGGATCACTTCTGTCTCTTGATTTAATTTGAGAGGATCAAAATAAATGAACGATGTACTCGATTTTTAGTGCAGATAACTTGAATACATATTCATTTTGAATAAAATTCTAGAATAAGAGCATACATTTAATAGTTTGTATAAAGTATAATTTGCTCACGTTATTGATCTTTTAGAATTTAAAATTTGATAGTATGGTGTTGATCTTTTGGAATTTAAAAATTTAATTAAACCTTAACGGTTTTTTATTGCGGCTGTCTTTTAATTAATCGGTCTTTTAACTTCTTTCGGCCGTTCCGGTCTTTTATTGCGCCGGTTTTTTAATTAATCGGTCTTTTGACTCTTTCGGCCGTTCCGGTCTTTTATTACGCCGGTCTTTTAATTAATCGGTCTTTTGACTCTTTCGGCCGTTCCGGTCTTTTATTGCGCCGGTTTTTTAATTAATCGGTCTTTTGACTCTTTCGGCCGTTCCGGTCTTTTATTACGCCGGTCTTTTAATTAATCGGTCTTTTGACTCTTTCGGCCGTTCCGGTCTTTTATAGTGCCGGTCTTTTAATTAATCGGTCTTTTGACTCTTTCGGCCGTTCCGGTCTTTTATTGCGCCGGTTTTTTAATTAATCGGTCTTTTAACTTCTTCGGCCGTTTCTGTCTTTTATTGCGCCGGTCTTTTAATTATTCGGTCTTTTAACACGTTTATTGTTTCCGATCTTTTAATGCTCCTGTTTTTTAATTAATGGTCTTATAGCCCAATTATTGTTTTCGGTCTTTTATTGCCCCGGTCTTTTTACTAACAGGTATTTTGTAAAGGCGGTTGAGTGCTGAATATTGAGAGCGCAATAGTTACTGTATAGATTTCTCGACTATAGCAACCGACACGCTATGGAGAGAAAAAAAGGCTCCGGTACAAAATATGGAATCGTTAAAATATGGAATGGTTAAAATCGCGAATAGGCTAAAAAGGGGTTAAAATACCGAATCGTTAAAATATGGAAACGTTAAAATATCGAATCGGGTAAAAAAGGGTTAAAATATGGAATCGTTAAAATATGGAATGGTAAAAATGTCGACACGGCCAAAATCTGTCAAAATGTCGAATTCTTTTAAAAAAGGGTCAGATGAGTGCCATACGTTGATTGTAGATGATTTTATCAACTTATCAACTTATTAATGATAAGTTGATTGATAAGTCTCTTATGTCGTAGTCCGGCGCAATCTTTTCTGCCAGAGTTCATTGTATTTTACCGAGTAAAACCGGACCGGATAAATCAAGCATAATCGACCGGATCCGGTCCGGCATGATCGTACGGATCCGGAAAACATAACGCGATCCTGATATGGAAAAATTAGAGTGGTGTGCATTAGTTTTTAGTTAAGACCTAAAGTTTGACCTTACCGTATACGGTACGAAATACCGAAAAATACCGATCAGCTTTTAAATTTTATCGGTCGGATTCCGTACCGTACAACCGACACGGAATACCGAAAAATACCATCGGTATTACGGTAACGCCCGGATTCTAGTTTTGGCGCCATTTTTAAAAAATTCGACATTTTGATCGATTTTGGCCGTGTCGACATTTTTACCATTCCATATTTTAACGATTCCATATTTTAACCCTTTTTTAGCCTATTCGATATTTTAACCATTCCATATTTTAACGATTCCACATTTTAACCCCTTTTTAGCCTATTCGCGATTTTAACCCCTTTTTACCCGATTCGAGATTTTAACCCTTTTTTAGCCTATTCCATATTTTAACGATTCGATATTTTGTCCGGACACGGAAAAAAAAATAGAGAACGTGATAAGAGAAACAAAGAAACAATCATACAGTGGAATTGTAATTCACTATATATATTTCTCATTTTTAGTGACTTAATGGCGACGCAGCAAGGATTTGGAGTTGTGAGTAGTTTTTCCAGATTTATTTTTAATTTTTGTATCTAGGAGGAAATTTACCGTGGTGTAATCAGTGATGTTGTTAGTCAGGTTAGAGAAGCATTTTTGGACGAAGGCATTGATATTGAAGTCTTACAACAATTAAAAAAAGTTCTTTTCATTTTTTATTTTAATTGAGACAAATTTAAGGCTTGGGAAACCAAAATACAAGCGAGTGGAGCAGTCGATTTGGATGCCCGTCCTCCACCACCTCCAGCACAGCCGCCTCCAACAAAGCAGTCCAGGCATCATACTACGCAAAACGTTTTAATTTTTTAATATTTTAAAAATTATTTTCTGACCTCAGACTTCTACACAACGTCCATCCACTTCTGATCAGACGCCTGGGACTTCTCAGCGTCCAAGTTCGTCTGAGCAAGTGCAGGGTACATCAACAACAGCTTCCCAACAACAAAAAACTTTGGCAGTTTCGGCGCAACAACAACAGCAAAGTCTACCCCAACTACCTGCTCCTCTTCAGGTTATTTCTCAAGTGTTATTTTTTAAAGAAGAATTTTAGAACCCTGTGCAGTTATTAAATTTGCCTACACAAATGCTCAATGCAGCAGTGCAATTTCCGCCAGGCATATTGCCACCAGGCTCACAATGTGCGATTATTGAAGGACCTAATGGCCCTAATTTTGTTCTGCTTAATCCACAAATGCAACTTAGTCTGGATAGCCAAGCTCAATTAATTTTACAACAGAATGCAGGAAACCCAAGTTTTCGAAGACCTGTACAAGAAATTGCAACAAAGAAGGAAAATTCAAATCAACATTTACCCCAACTTGATGGTGGAGGTCCAGGCATGACTGACAGGTTTTTATTTACTAATTTTGGGTTAGTTTTAATAAATTTATTTAGTTCCTCAGAAGAAGAACAGGAAGACGATCCATTGAAAAGATATGCTGGTTTGGAAGATGAAACGGCACAGCAAGAAAGTCCAGCGGAAGAAGAGGTACCTTTAAATTCAGATGATGACCAAAGCGATGACGAGGATTTGGATACACTCTTTGATGCTGACAATGTTGTTGTTTGCCAATTTGAAAAGGTTTTCTTAAACTAAAACAACCTTTTAAAATTAATTTAAAGGTCCACCGAGCAAGAAATAAATGGAAATTTATTCTAAAAGATGGAGTAAGTATCTTAGAAACAACCTCAATTTTAATAAATTTTTAGGTCATGCAAATAAAAGGCAAAGACTATTGTTTTCATAAAAGTAATGGCGAGGCAGAGTGGTGATTTAGACCATTTTTAACGTTAGAAATATTGATATTCTTGCATATCTATGTACTTTTACACAGGTTTTTTTCTAGATTCGTATTGAAGATTTTCTAATTAAAAAATGACCAGTTATTTTATGAAAATTTTAAATAGATTGTGTATTATTTTCACGTTTTGGCACTACTGAAGAAAAGGGTGCTTTTTCTGCGGACTTTTTTTGCGGACTTTTCCTTTCTTTTAAATGTTTTACTTGTAGCAACTAACTGTCAAAGGTCCTCCCCCCTATTATTTTTCTTACCTAAGATTGTACATAAAGGTCAGATTTTCTTCTTCCTCTCCTTCCTCTATTTGCTCTGTGGCATATTCAAACAAGTGACATTGATAAAGAGAAGATTAATTTTATACATAGTCATACACTTATTTTTTGCCTTCGAAAACAATTTAAACCAAAAAAGAATTAAATAAAATTGATTTGGTGTATAACATTATGAATTTCTGTGTAAAAACATTACATTCTTACTTATATTTAAAAATATTGAACAACTGAAAAAATAAAATGAACTCAATATTGAACAACTCAATTAATCTTCTCTTTATCAACAATGTCTCTTGTTTGAATATGCCAAGCTTAAATAGAGGAAAGAGAGGAAGGAGGAAATCTGACCATTTTGTACAATCTTAGGTAATAAAAATAATGGGGAGGGGACAAGGTTTGAAATTACCCGCATTTCTGTCCACAATCACATATTCTTTTTCTATGAAGCATTCCGAGATCAGTGATCCATTGTTGAAATTCATCATCCGGTAATTGAAAATATAGTTAAAGTCAATTTTAACGTTTATAATGTTCAAATTAATGGTGAACACATATTTTTCAAATTGACATAAAAATCAATCCTTTGACCGTTAGTTGCTACAAGCAAAACTTGCTACAAGCAAGACAAACAAAACATTAAAAAAGAAACATTTAAAAGAAAGGAAAAGTCCGCAAAATAAGTCCGCAGAAAAAGCACCCTTTTCTTCAGTAGTACCCACGTTTTGAGCAAATATAAATTTTAAATTGAAAAAACTAATTAAAGGGATATGCAAAATTTTATGTTCAGCAGCAAAACATGAACTAACTTATAAACTTTAGACAAAAGCAAAACAAAATAACTTCTAACAATTAATAAATCCCGCTACTTAAAAGAAACAGGCTATTTAAATATATAAAGGAATGAAAAAATATTCAAAATAAAAAATAGCCCTAAAATATTTTTTGGCGAGGTCATTCACAGGTTGCAGGATATGGCAAGCTGTGGGTAAAGTTAAAATCTGTAGTCATTTGAAAAAAATAAACCATCACGTATCCAAACTACCCAAGTATCCAAAGAGAGGGAAAGAATTAAACAAATTAGTAAACCTTGAATTTTTCCGAACTTTTTTCCGGTTACGTGCTGGCTGTTTTAACATGTTTAAGAGAATGACTACATGCTCCAAATGTCATTAAACCCGTTGCGCTACATGAACGTCTTCTATGCTTGACTCCAAATCTACAATTCCAGTGTCTGACGGTTCTCGAGCACCCATTGCATTTGCAATCTGCCGTTCAATGTCTTTACTGCCTGGTAACTCGAGAATCAAATGCCGAAGAACATCCGAAAGTGAGATTATGCCAACAGCTCTGTTTTCATCGTCAACAGCCACTAATCGATGTACTTCTGCTTTCACCAGAATATCTTTAAAAATATTATTTAATAGATAAAATTAAAAGTTCATACCAATCACTCGATTTAATGAATCTTTATCAGAGCACCTTCGAACACCCTCAAACCACTAAAAAATAAAAAAAATATTTAATAAAAAATTTTCAATAAAAAAACCTCAGAACGTTGTTTAAGCGCCTCATAAACAGTAACGTCTAATTTGTCATAAGTCTTGTCGGCCGCTAGGTTTATGACGTCAAACTTGGCGTAAATGTCAACAACCTGAAAAAAATAATTTTAAAGGGTTAATAGAAAAATTATGAATACTTTTCCATCCGAATCGATTAAAGGAAGAGCAGAAACCCTCTTTGAAAGGAAAGTCTTCATTGCTTCTATAAGTGGAGTAGATTTGTCTATTGTAAGAATATTTTCCCACGATCCAATGCCAAGTTCTTTAGGTGTTTTATCCATAAAGGCAGGCTTAGGCAAGTCACTTATCTTAAAAATTTTTTTGAAAATCTTTAAACCTTTAACAACTTACATATAAATGAAGAAATTTAATAAGTCGCTTATGCGTCAAAATGTACAAAATGTTGCCTGTTGAGTGCTCCATTACGGGAAGCCGGTGGATTTTGTGTTCACAAAGGAGTTGAACAGCTCGATAAAGACTAAAATGGAGAATAATAGAAAAAAGGGAATTATAAAACCTTTCAGTAGGATCAACTGTGATAAATGGCCTAAGACTACAGTCAGATTTGAAGATATCCCGCCAAGTTGAAATTTTGTGCTCCTCCAGCTTTACCCCGTCTTCCATTTGATCGTTTTTATAATATCTCAAAAATAAATTATTTAGAGACAAGTCAACATTAATGCAAACCTATGCAAAATTTGAATAAAGTCAGTAATAGTAAGCATGCCAACAAATTCCTGAGTACTGCTGTCCCAAAGAGGAGCTGCGCGGACCCTTTTATAATTAAATGTTAATTAAAAATAAAAATACAAAAAACCCATTGTAAACAAGTGCAAAAAAAGCCTTGCTGACTGGCAATTGTGTGTCAAAAACAACCAGTTTTGAACTTGTAGGCACTAAAAAAATAAAGTAAAATATTTAAAAAAATAAAAATCAAACCAATGTCATAGCATTTATGGGCTTTCATAAAGAGTGAATAAACTGCCTCCTGACTTTCTGAATTAAAAAAATATTTTTACAAAAATAGAAGGATTAAAAAAGGAATTTCTAACCAAATAAAATTTTATTGATTTCGGGCATGCTGTCACCCATATTTGAATAGGAATCCTAAAAAATAAATTCTCACGTTTATCAAGCGAAGTGTGCCAGTCCTCAAAATCGAAAACTGTTGGATGATCAAGGCGTGTGGCCAGAAAAATGTTGGGACCCGTTGCTGATTTAGGTCGCATTGAATAAAACGAATTATTGAGACTGGATCTGTGTTGGAGAGTTGGGCGTGCACTGAGTGGCGCTCCCGCAGTTCGTTCCATTTCTGGTGAGATTAATAGAAGAGTTAGAGAAACGCACGCGTGGAAAGAAAAAAAACATCATCATCCACCTCGTGGATAATGGAAAAATAAAAAGGGAAAGATAATGAGAAAAAACTGACTATTTCCCAATGGGATCAGAAGCGGAACTGGTGAATTTGTTGCCAAAAGAGAAGCTTTTCCTGCAGTATTTACATATTTTGGTGAATCACTTATGCTTCTATAATGTTGCTGATGACATGGAACCCTAGTTATTTGGTGTCCATTATTTAACTGTTTTGGATGAAGAAACAAATTCTGCCGTTCTACTGTTGCTTCAGGTGCTGATGAAGATGGAGGGATTGCTCTGTCACTGAAAGGAATATTCATGCCGGAAGCATTTTCTGAAAAAAGGAGTGGATCAACAAGTGAAAAAAGAAGCCTCGACACGTTAAAATCAAATATTACCATCACTAGCAATTGCTGCCGGTGAAGAAACTGCGAGAGTTCCAACCATTGACAAATTATTTGCAGCGGCAACGTTTGCCCCTGATGGACTGCTAAATGTAAAAGAAGGAGGGCGCGGCTTAGGCTCCTGTTGACAGCTTCGATCTGTTGTTGAAATGGATGTATTTTCGTTTGCACTAGTATTTGGCCGAGCTAGTTGTTTGTAAATAGCTTTTCGGATCGAACCTTTGCCTTTTCCCGAGTTGTTACCAAACATGTAGCAAAGCACCCAACCACCACAGGCGACTTATTTTCTTTTTTGATTTCTGTTGATTAAACGTACTGGTGATTGTTTGTGTGTAAATCTCTCCCTTGCGAAGTTGAAAGAATAAAAAAAGTAGTAACAAATAAAACACACTGTTCAATTTGTCGTTTAAAGAATGATCAACAAGAAATAAGATATTTTGAAGCGGTTGTCTTTCTGATAAATTATCATCTAATGTTCAAAAAAAGCAGAGATATGAGGAGGAAACGAAATTTAAAAAAATGGGCCGAATTGTGGGAGTTTTTCCAAAACTAAACCCCCCGTCAGGTCCAGAGGTCACATGTGCGGAGCATAAAAGAAATAAAAAAGAGAATATAAGAGGAAAAAAAAAGATGAAAGGTGAGGGCAACGCCGACGGGTTAATATTGCTGCTTTCTTTTTGTAGATTGCCGAGAGGGGGGAAAGAATAAAGCAGCGAGAGCGGAATGAATAGATGAAATATAGAGGAGTGAAATGCCAAGGACAACAACAACAACGCGTGAGCAGTGACGATTCTCAACTGGCGAGAAAGGAAGGGAGGAAGGGGGCCGGGAGTTGTCGGGAGTGCAGAGATATAAAGTAAAAGAATGTGAAAATACGAGTACGAGAATGGGCGCTATTATATTTAAAAATCGGTAAGTAGAGGAAAAAACATGTCATCTTGGAAACTTTTCTTAAAACAAAACAGCTGGTCGAAGAAAAAATTGCTGACATGCTAATATAAGCAATTTTACTCAATGTATCAAGTGATAACTGAAATTCAATTTTTTTCGATCTTTAATTGTTGGGATTGGGTTCCGAAGCCTTTCGAGGATTATTCAAATTATATTCTTTAAATTATTTATTTACATTTAACTATTTACAAATAAAAATATATACATAGCGAAAAGAGGGAAAGGGGACAATTACAAGAGTCTGGCCAGAACTCACATAAACACTTCTAATTAGATATTAAGATAAGATGAATGACCATTTTGGATGAGTATTTATAGGGGACATTAACAGGTCAAGATTGGGGTAAACAAGTGAATAACAAATAATAATATAAGGGTCGGGAATTGTGATAAACTCTGATAACGGTCGGGATTCCTTTTAATATAGGAAAAGGTCAAAATATTTGTGCCTGTGAATGCACGTGAATACATCATTTATTTTTAGTTTGTTTATTTGATTAGGAGGGATGCAGCATTCCTTCCCCCTTTATTTGAACGTCCACGTTCAAAATTGTAGTTTAATTTTTTTTTTTAAAATGAGGGTAATTTAGGCTATTTTATTAATGTAATATATATTTTTTTTAATATTCTACAAGATTTAAGAATTTAATTTCCTCATCGTACAATTCCGAACGACGGTTTTTTTTTTAATACTTCCTTACAATTTTACTCCGACCAAGCTTTATCTTTAAAATTTTAATTTTTATTTTGATTGTCTCTCGTCTTGGCGACGGCTTTCAAATTACTAGTATACTTTTATTAATTATTGTAAAAGCTATAATTCGCTTTGAATTATTCTTTAGTTTTCTTCTTTAATGTTTCTTTTTTTTTTCAGCTTTTTTTTTTGCCAAATTCTCCGAAAAATTAATTATAGGGATATTACGTTGAAAAAGAAAGGGTTATGGGTTGTTTTACATGAGTACAGAAAAATTTTTGGTAAATAGACGGAAAACAAAGTGAGGTGAAATTTGGATAGTTAGCAATAAATGTTAAAAGGGGTTTTATTACAATCCAGTCAAACACTTTGTAGAAGAGCAGCGATTTTAGTTGAGTTCCTTTTTTGTTTTCAAGTTGCAGAGCAGACTTTTTGTTTCCATTTAGTTGATTTTTTGATTGGGATTGGGTTCCGAAGCCTTTCGAGGATTATTCAAATTATATTCTTTAAATTATTTATTTACATTTAACTATTTACAAATAAAAATATATACATAGCGAAAAGAGGGAAAGGGGACAATTACAAGAGTCTGGCCAGAACTCACATAAACACTTCTAATTAGATATTAAGATAAGATGAATGACCATTTTGGATGAGTATTTATAGGGGACATTAACAGGTCAAGATTGGGGTAAACAAGTGAATAACAAATAATAATATAAGGGTCGGGAATTGTGATAAACTCTGATAACGGTCGGGATTCCTTTTAATATAGGAAAAGGTCAAAATATTTGTGCCTGTGAATGCACGTGAATACATCATTTATTTTTAGTTTGTTTATTTGATTAGGAGGGATGCAGCATTAATATTATGAAATAATGCGGAAACTAAAGGAAAAGATGACAAGCTCTTACCCAACTAAAGATTAACCTAAGGACAAAATTTCCAGCTTCTTACCGAAACGAAAACTAACGAATTGAAACAACAGCCGAAGAATATATTTTTTAAGGCCAACGGCCAACCTAGGCCAAATGTTATTGATCGACAGAGGAAATGAGGACCGCATTCGCACGCACATGGGAAGAAAAAATGGATGAGGGATAGCGTAGATTTAATAAAAAAAATTTTTTTTGCCTTATTTTGTAGCTATATTTGTTTACAATAATATTATACAAAAAAAAGTTTACTTAGCGGAGGGAACTTTTTACACGCAAAATAATTTTTCTGGCCCAAACACCTCTCTGGAAACACGCAATCATACATTTTTTAAAAATATATTTTCGATTTTTAGGACTGACACCCTCCCAAATTTATTTAAAGAATACCTCGTTTTTAATCAAAAGAGCAGTCTTACATCCAGCAGCATTTTCAGTTGTTGGAGGAATCAACACAATTCTTGATCCAAAAGAACTAGGTCCAAAATCACTTATTGATTTAGACTGCTGGGCATGCATAACATTTGTCATTGATGGACGTGCTGAAGTGGAAAAATCAAAAGGAGAGTGTTTACCTTAAAAAATAAAAAAAATTTGTATAAAATTCTTTAAAAATTAAACCTCCATAATGGCCCTTGTGTAAAGCCTGATGTTGAGTAACTGGATTAGGCGAATAATAACGAAAGAAATTTTGAATACGAGAAGTCTTAGTCGGTGGGCTGTATGGCGCTTAAAATTCAAAATTATCAAGAAATTCAAATCATTAAAGCTTACATTGTGAAAGGTCATCAGGCTGAAAAACACCATCAAGCGATTTAGAAAACATCTTGTTAACACCTTTTTGCTTATACTAAAAAACATGAAAAAATTGCTAAGCCGTTATCACTATTATGTTTTGCGGACATTTTAATCCTTCCTCAATTCGATTTTACTTCCCTGTGGCATGTTCAAATGGGTCTAAATCGTGATTCACCATCTCCTGCAACTGGAATTGAGGAGAGAATAGTTTATCAAGGAAGAAAATACCCGCAAAAAAGTCCGTAGGAATAACGGAGCAGTACCGAAAAAATTAATTTAAAAACCTTACAAAGTCTTTCGAAGACGGCGTGCTAACAGAAATAGAATCCATTCTATTTGCCATCTGAACATCAACTTCCACACAAAATTGTCTGTCTAAAAGGTCCAATTGTTCATTAAGAGTCCTCTGGCGTTGTCGTTGTTTAATTGATTTATTAGGTGATAATGCAGGAGCGCTTGATACACTGACGCCTGGTTGTTGAGTTGGAAGCATTTTTGATGAAGAAAAAAATAAATTAAGTAAAAATATTTAAAATCTAAAATTAAAAAAGAAAAAATTATTTTTTAACAAATAATGCACTAAAAGAACACGAACAATTTAAGGATTAACAACTAAAATATATTAGACAAACAAATTAAGTTTAAATGAATTTTTTATTGAGCGTCTGGCTCTAAAGGACGTAAAAAAATTTCAGTTAAAACTTTGAGCAAATAATTGACTGGCATTTTTGATTTTCGAACATAAATTATGAAGTACCAGTTGAGTGCAGTTTTAAGGGATCAAATGCACCGATAAAAATTTCCTCTCGTTGTCTCGCACTCTCTCATGTTTTATTCGCTCTTTTGCCGTTTTTTCTTATTTATGCGACTCTAATTTCCTTATTTAATCCATTCGAGTCCGAATCTATATTTTAAAAACGACCGTAACCAAAAATTTTGGGAGAGGCTAATCTCTCAAAAAATACGCCTACATTCAAATCCTCTTAATCTCTAGACTTTTGAAAGATGAAACCGAATCATTTAATCACAAACACCAACTCCCCTCCTTTCATTTTCATTCTCCCTAATCATTCAATGCGCAAAAAATCGTGGCCTTTGAAAAACTAAAAGTATGAGGCTTAAATAAAACAAGAAAATCACAAAAAAACAAGAGAGTAAAAAAGAAAGTGGGTGTTTTTAGCAAGGTCTTATTTCAAACGCAATAGAAAAGAAGGAAATCGATCAAAAGAATGTAAAGATCTCCTGGATCACTAAAAATAAATCTACTATTTTAATAATTTTGTTCATCAACCAAAAATAAAGTTAGTATAGTTTGATGTATGGCATTAGGTCTGTTTAGTCGTATTTCCAACTTTATTATATGCCTCTTTCATCAAATTGGTTGCTGTTTCCGCCCGAAAAGTAAGTAGATAATTAAGTAATGATCAAACAAAAATTGTCAGAAAATCGTCTACAAGAATTCCGGAAGCAATACAAGTAGGAAGGATTTCTTTAAAATAAAAAATCTTTTGTTCAGAATTTTGGACAAGATAGGCGGTGGTGGTTTCGGAATTGTTTATCAAGTAAGATGATTTAATAAAATCAAGTATTGAAAGTCTTAAATTAATATAATTTCCGGGCTACCGAATTGTTGATTGCCTGCCTGTAGCGGTAAAATTTGTTCGATATCGACAAGTAACAAACTGGACGTTGAACCATGGAATAATTCTTCCGAAGGAAATTATACTCCTAAAAATATGCCAAGATTGTGAGGTAAACTACCATAAAATAATAAATGATGCTAAAGGAAAAAATTTTTCTGAAGGGTGTCATTCGTCTCGTTGATTGGTTCAGCAGGTGATAAAAATCCGTAGATACTTACAAAATATATTTTTAGCAAGAACGGATTTATAATTATTATGGAAAGGCCCAAAAACTTTATGGCACGTTTAAAATCTACGAATAATTAATTTATCGTTAAAATTAAAAGGATCTCTTCGACTTGATCAAAATAGCTGGACGATTGAACGAGAAAGTGGCAAACGAAATCTTTTCACAGATTGTGAGGACCATTGTTGATTTATACAATCGGCATTCTATTATCCATCGAGATGTTAAAGTAAGCGCAAATCATTTAGTGTTAGACCCAATCGAAAACCTTTTTATGATGAAAATATTATCTTGGATATGGACACAGGAAAGACGTGGCTATGCGATTTTGGAGCAGCTGAATTCAAGGATCGAGTCATTTCCAAACAATTTCATGGCACAAAATCATACTGCCCACCTGAGGTTTTTGAAATACAACGATTTCTGCCATTAGAAGGAACTGTTTGGTCTTTGGGTAAAGGAAAAATAATTAGGAATATATCAATTCTAAAGGTATTCTCCTTTATACAATGCTAATCGGTCATCCACCGTTCCAAAATGTGATGCATATTTGTGCTGGAAAAATCCGTATTCCTGGCTACATCTCTAAAGGTACGTGCTCAATCAGAACAAAGTCAAATAAACTCTCAGAATGTCGTTCTCTGATCGAGAATTGCCTTCAAACGGACCCAAAACGTCGCTTAAGGTTACAGCAAATGTCTTCACATGAATGGCTCCTCAAACCACGGACTGATTTCATTGGAGGTTTTTCCGAAATGCAGAAATTCTGGAGACGCAAAGGAAGATTGGTTAGAAAAAAAACTGGACTGTCTCAAAACTCAAATTTTAGAACTCCTTAGGCACAGCAAGAACAACAGAAAGTGAAAGTTCAGAAGAATGTTCATACAGGGCTTCAACCGGACGTAATGAACCTGAACCTATAACTATTCCAATTCGCACACCGATGGCGAGCCATTGCCTTTCATTAGAGAGCACTTGCTTACGGCCTGATTCTGGTTTCGATACTTGTTCAGAGGGGCCAATTCTTCGACAGGTCATCGACGATTTTAATCTTATTTCAAAACTAAAATTTGAAGAGCTTCAATGGAAGTCCATCATGTCCACATACGTCGACATCCTCGCAAAGTTCTAGTCAGAATTTGTTTTGCTCTCTCTGTAGTTCATCTTATTATACAGTGGAGGAAAGATTCACATCCTTTGATGACAATGATTCATCTCGAGGATCACTCATCTCTTCAGCATATTTTTCAACAAGTTCAGATGGACCCACAATTTTCAGGTAAAATAACAAAAATAAATACCAAAGCATTCAGAGAAAAATTCAGAGGAAACTATGCACTTGATGACGAGGAAGGAGACATAACAATAATCGCAGAACATCCGCATAAGCAGAACAACCGCAATGGTTCAAAGAGATGGTCCAAATTTGAACGAGAAATCTCATCGGACGAAGACGAAACCATAATTCTCAACAAAGTCCAAATCTAAAATAAGAGCTTAAACTTTGTTATTAAGAATATTGTTAATCCTAGAGCTTTAATAATTTTTAATAAATAAAAGATAATTCAAATTGTTTCGATACAACAATATTAAATTATAAAATAGAAATAATAATAATTTTTATTACAAAATGATCATTGATAAATAAAATATTATAAACTTGATAGAAAAAATATAATAATATTTGAAAATAGTAGGGGTGAGATTTGATCATAAAATTTGGTAAAAACTTTAAAGAAAAAGAATCTTTTTTGCTATTTTTTTAATTCTTTGAAAAAAATACTAAAAATTTGTTATAGTATCGCAGTAGAACCTCATAATAATTCTTAACCTCTATTCAATATTCATGCATCATTTGCCCTAGTTGTGCAAGTTGATCAACCTCTGTAAATGGATCTGATGAAACATTTGTTGAAGTTGAAACACTATTATTGTCAGTAAATGGAGTATGGAAAAACTCAGCTTTTGGTGAAGGCGGAAGCGGTATATGCGCAATATTAACACAATCCACAGATGAATAGGGATATGCACCGCATGGAAAATTCATTCTTAAAAAAAGAGAATTTATTCAAAAATTTTAACAAAATCAAAAATACATTTGAGTAATTTGATGAAGTTCATTAACTGCTGTATCTATTGGCTGTGACTCTTCTGGTTGTTGCTGATGCTTTGGCTCGATTTGTATATCATTCCGTTTCTCAAAATAATCATTCTTCTCTGGTGTAGTAGCTCTTTCCGCAACTCTTTCAACAGCAGATGATTGATCCATTGAGGTAAAATTGTCACCAGATTTCCAATTATCGTTAGAATTCCAACTCTCACCAGCTACCCACTCACCAGCTCTCCAATTATCACTAGAGTTCCAATTGTCACCATATTTCCTATTATTACTAGAGTTCCAGTTGGCTCTTGCTGGTTGCTCAAATGTTTGTCTTCGATGTTCTTAAAAATAAAAATAATTTTTTTTTACCAAAATTATAAAAAAACCTGAAGGCCTACTAAATCTATTTTGTTGACCTCGTCCTCCTTGATGATAAAATGGAGAATTTTGAAAGGAAGAATGAACACCAAAGTTATTATATTGATCATGTCCATCATTATTATATGAATCATTCCATCGTGATCCAGATTCAAATCTTTGACGGTTGTTAAAAGTTCTACGCGGAGCGAAACTTTGTTGGTTTTGAAAAACTTGTTGTTGGTTTTGAGTTTGTTCAGTAGGAGGCTTGACATTATTAGAATTCCAATTAGCATTATTGACTCTTGCTGGTTGCTCAAAAGTGTTCGTAGAATTTTTGTTATTTGGTTGACAAACAGAAGTAAAACGTTGAAGAGGTGAACGATGTACAAATTCAGGTGAATCATCATGCATCTCAATAATTTTTCGAGTAATTTTGAATTTAGCTTTGTTTTCTAAATTTTTTTAGGAAAATATTTTTTTAAATAGAGAGCAAAAAATAAACTTTTAGGAACAACAGGTTTTACATCTGAAGCATTTTTAAATTCCATTGAGGATTGAGCCATAGCTGAAGACATTGGTTGTTCATTGAGATCTGTCTTGATTTGCAAATTTGAATCAGCAGTAGAAGTTTCACCACTTTCAGTAGTAGATGGTTGCTCAAAATCAGATGATTTTCTTTTCAAAATTGAAACTGAGGTTGATGGCAAAGCTTTGACCATCTAAAAAAATAAATTTTAGAAGAACAAAATATAAATTTGATACATTGGATGAACGTCGCCAAGCACTAGCAATTGGTTTATGTCCAAGTTTAACCACTTGAGCAATAGGATTATATCCATTTCCGGAGGATTCTTCGGCTGCCGCTAATGTAGGAAGAGGTAATCCATCCACTAAAATAGGTTGATTTGATTCTTGCTTTTTCTTTGTCAACTTCAAAATGTTTCGGCGAGCTGCTATAATTAATTTTATAATATTGAGATTAATTTAAAAATAAAAAAACCTTTTGATTTACGAGGTACTTGTACATCCAAAGCCTCAAATTTAAAAGAAATAAATTTTAAACAATAAAATTATCATACCATTTGTTCGTGAAATAGATTTTTATTGTCAATTGTACACTCTGCAAATCCACATATTTTAGACTTCTTCTGAAATAGCTCAATGTCCTTGCGCAAATTCAATTGGTCCAATGAATTGATTTTGTTTAAAAGAGCCTAGAAAATTAAAAACACTAATTAAAATGAAAATTTAAAAAAACTTTGAGTTCCATAATTAAATGAGCTGGTCGAGTTATTCCTTCAATCACTTCAGGTTGTTTTGAATTTAATAAGCGCTTCATAAATCTGACAAGTGAATGAAGACCATTTATTTCAAAAGGTGAAAGTGAATGCAAGTATTCTTTAAAAGAAAGTTTTTTCATAAAAATATAATCTTAAAATGTCAAACCCATATCATAATGTTCCGAAGGTATAAATAGATCAGGGTCTTGATCACCAAATTTAAGTTGAATAGGGTTGAATGTATATGTTCCCTAAAATTTGATATGTATTAAAAACGTTTTAATGTTAAACAAGCTTACATCTTCTGAATTTCCAATGTTATCATAAAAAATATTGTCAGCACTAATTTCTGAATTCTTTTGAAGTTGTTCAATTTCTGCATTCTCTACCTTAAAATTAATAATACTATTAAAAAGGGAATCCCATACGCATTAGCCCAATCTAAATTAAAGTCAGATCCCCATTTAAAATAAATATTTAACCTCAAAATCAATTTCCTTATCAACAAAAGCTTCTACAGTCGGCATTTTTTGATAAACTCGCCCAGTCGCTAATTTTACCACCTTGGCTAAATAACACCAAAAAATTTGTTTGAAGTGAGGAAATCTGTATTTGCTTCCAATCTATAAAAATGCATGTTGAATTCTTATTTTTAGAAAAATTATTAACCTTTATCCTATCTTCAGAACGAGAAACCCGTATTTGCATTGGCATGGAAAATGAATGAAGAAAATTTCCACCAAATACAAGTGAATCACATGGTGTATAAACGCAATGAATCCAACCTATAAAAAATCCATTTCGAAAAAACTAAAAAAAATTAACAAACCAGAAGGAATTATCAGCGTAGCTCCTTGCTTAAGAAATAGTCGTGTACATTTATTTACAATTTTGCCGAAAAAACAGGAATTGTTACTGCCACCAAGTATCCATTCCTCATACAATTTTAAATTTTCTTCAGTTGGTTCAATCAGCCAGAAGACCTAAAAAATTATCAAAGCAAATTATTTAGAAAGAGGAAACAAAAACCTTTTCTCCTTTTAAAATATGATACCAAACAGAGGTGCCACCAAAATCAACGTGGTAATCAGTAAAACAATTAGCAACACTCATTAAGCAATATCTGAAGCAAAGAATGAAAAGAATACAAAAAGAAAATAAACCTTTGGACTTTTGGATAAGTTGAAAAATCCTGTTCGCGTGCCCATGAACTTTTACTCAAAAGATTCTCCTGACGTTTAAATAATTCCTTTGGCCATACATTGTCAATCCAGTCTATTTTTGGTACAAAAGCAGGAGCACTTACCTTAAAAAGTTTAAATAAAAACTTAGAAAATATTTAAAACTATACTAGATCTGCCAAAGGTGTTGAACTAAATTCAAGTGAAAGCACATTAAATAATTCTTTACGCTCCTGAACAGGCGTCCTTAAATTGAAGTCTTTAAAAGAATAGAAAATATAAAAAAAACTTGTAATAGTCGATAAAATCACTCAAGTTCATTAAACGCCCATTTTGCGTGCAGACTTCTACAACTTCTATTTTTCTGTCTTTGCCAACATTTTCTAGAAAATGGGATAAAGAAGCCAAAGACATAAAAAATACCTAAAACATCATCCACCGTGAAATTGTTTGGATCAGGCATACTAAAGATTAAAGGTTAGAAGTCTAATTACTTTAAGTTCATTACTTCATTCCCAGCTTTTGCGGTGGAACATAAAAGAAAAGTGGTGTAGTAAGGCCAGTCGATTTAATGTAATCCATCGTGAAGTCTTTAAAAACACAAAAACTATTTTTTCTAAAAAATATAAAGCAACAACCTTCAACAGGAATACTTTTAACAACATCATCATATTCAAAGTCAGGTGAAGTAAGTATCTCATCAATATCATAAGGCAATTTAGTGGGTTTCTCGGCTATGTAATTTTGTAGTTCTGCATCTTCTAGTGAACTTAAATCTTCAATCTTAAAATTATCGAATAATTGTTAGTATTAATTAGTTTAATCAAACCTTGCTTTTACGATTTCTCTTCGGATATCTATCTTCATAATCTCCAGGGTCCAATTTAGGAGAAATTTCTGGGTCATCCATTTGCTATCTTAAAATCAAAATTAGAATGATATAAAAGTGCATGAATTTAAAGATACATAAATACATATTGATGATTACTAATAGAAACATAAGTCAATGAGATTTACAATCAAAAAATTTTGATTAAAAAATTAACAAATTGCAGCTGCAAAAATTTTGCAAATTTTACAAATCAACAAAAATCAAATCGTTATTTCCAATTTGACTAAAATGCTTATCAAATTTTCACTTCACCTAAACTCGTTTCGCCAAATAGAACAAATTTTTCCAAATCGTCCCACAGACAAATGAAATGTTTCAGATTGCCAACGCGGCAAAAATAGTTCAAAACGCCCACTTCTTATCAACAATTCCAACAAATCAACAGCTGATCAACAACAACCAACGATTAATCACTTATAATATGCGCAATGCTACAATTGTTGTGATAGGTGATATAGGTCATAGTCCACGTACGTGTAATCATGCCTTTTCACTTGCCTCGCATGGATTAAAAGTAAATATTGTTGGCTATTTAAATTCAAAACCTCATCCAAAGATTATTAATCATGAAAATATCAGGTTAATTTTTATTCTTTTTTTAATCCCTTTAATTTTAGAATTTCCCCAATTTCACAACCTCCTTCATTTTTATCAAACAATAATCAAATTCTACGTTTCCTGTTATTACCTTTAAAATTCATTTGGATATTTTTTATTCTTGGAATTGCTTTAATAAGAATTTGTAAAAATGATGGGAAGGATAAAAACAATCTACTCCTCCTCCAAAACCCTCCTGGAATTCCAACAATTTTTGTTTGCTATATTGTATGTTTTATCTAATTTTATTTCTCATAAAAATTTTTCTTAAGGTTGCCAAACTTAAAGGAATGTTTTTTCTAATTGATTGGCATAATTATACTTTTTCAATGTTTGGTAAATCCAGGTTTTTTTATATTTCTAGAGATCGGCCTAGATATGGATCCAGACCTTGATGTATTTCTTGACTCAATGTCTTGACTTAAGGCCCTATTCTTGATTTAAGGTCAAAAATTTGGTCAGGGTCCTCAACTAAAATCCAAGAATCAAAGTCGAGCTTCTTTAAAATTTCCGATCTCTAGATATTTCTCATAGATCACTAGAAAACATTATTTTTAATTTAAGTATATCCCAATTAATTGCTGGATTTGAAGGTTTTTGTGGGAGATTATCCGACTTAAATTTATGTGTTTCTAATACAATGAAAAATGATTTGCTTAAACGATGGAATATAAATTCAACTGTTTTGTATGACAGACCTCCAAGTTGGTTTTTCAGGTTATTTTTAAAATTTTTGTTTCCTAATTTTCTCAATTTTATAGATCAATAGCATCAGAAAAATGCGAATTTTTAAACAAGTTTTTGGCCGAAAAAGAATCAAAACTTCAAAGTTGGAGAAATTTTTCTAGTCCGAAATTTTAGAATTAAATTTTTAGATTTATTCTTTACTGAATCACCCGAGGGAGCGATAACACTACGTGAGGATCGTCCATTAATTATGGTCTCTAGCACAAGGTAAAAATCTTTTAAAGATCCAAAATACCCTAAATTATTCAAAGTTGGACACCCGACGAAGATTTTTCAATTTTACTTACAGCCTTGATTGGTTACGATGAATATTCCCAAAGTGATAAGGGTCACTTATTGCCCAAACTTCTTGTAATTATAAGTGGTAAGGGGCCACAGAAACAACTTTATTTGGAGAAGATTAGCACCATTCGATGGCACAACGTTTTTATTTTGACTGACTGGTTAGAGGCTGAGGATTATCCCAAGGTTGTTTAAAGGTTAAATTTATAAAAATAAATTTAGATTTTATCTTGTGCTGATATTGGCGTTTGCTTACATGCTTCAACATCAGGATTTGACTTACCCATGAAAGTATTTTTTGTTGAAAATTGACTAGGTTGTAAACTTAATTAGGTTGTGGATATGTTCGGATCAAAACTGCCAGTTTTGGCTAAACGCTTTCCTGCTATCCCCGAATTGGTAAAGGATGGAGTAAATGGAATACTCTTTGATAAGGCTGAAGAATTGGAACTAGCAATAATAAGAATTTCAGAAAAGTTTCCTAAAAATGAGGTACCTTTTTAAATTTAAGAAACGATTTAGTTGTACTTTACAGGTACTTAATGAATTAAAAAGCAATGTAGGAAAGGACTTTAAATGTTGGGAGGAAAATTGGGAAGGTTTAACTTAAATCTTAAAACTCTTAATTTTCCAATTTTTTAGAGATTGTTTGGCCATTGTTAAATGATTAGACAGCTTTATTGTTTGTACAATTCAAAGAAATCGAAAAGAGATGCTACAAGATTTTCAGAATTTTGGAAATTTTTAATTATTAATATCTTGTTAAATTATTAAAGATTTTTTAAAAATTTGTATAGCATCTCTACATCGATTACTATTAGAAAACCTAGAAAGATAAAAATGTTAAATATAAAAATTGAAAAATGGGATTTATAAAAAAATACTTTTAATCAGTTCCTTCTGTCCCATCAGTACCATCATTTTCAGCAAGTTGATCCTATAAACAAGACAGATATATAATTTTTTATTATGTTATTTAACCTTTTCAGAGATTTCGTTCGTTTCCTCTTCGACGGATTGCTCCATAGGAATTGTTTCAGCTTTAATAAATAAAAATATAAATTTTTGAATTTTTTACAATTTACTACTCCCAAAATTTTTGACATAAGCATTTTTATAGTCTAAATAATTACTCTCAATTGGAACACTTTCAACTGGAACAATTAACCCAGAATCAATATCAGCTTCCTGAACTACTGCTGTAGGCGGAGAATGGCTCGGAGTAGAGAATATTTCTTCGTGTGTAGCACCTAAAATAATTTTAATTTAAAAATAAATTTTAAATTTAACAAACCTGCTCTTGTTGTGACATTTTTCTGAAGTTGTTTTAAATAATCTTCTTGTGACCGACCCTAAAATATAGATTTTATTAAAAGGTTTATTAAAATACTTGTAATAAGCAGACAAGTATTACAGTCATATTATCACATCCAAGGCCATTCAAATCACAATCCTGAGACAAACAATTGTCGATAAGTTGTTCACAAATCTTTTTAAAAAAAGTCGTAAACAAATATAAAAAAAAGGGTACTCTTGTGTTATATGCCCCCATTTTTATGACCCATTTCCTATTTTACAAACCGTAAATACTTTTCCGGAATTTAATAAAATATTTTACAAATTGCAAAAACTTTTCCGGAATTTAATAAAATATTTTACAAATTGTAGAAACTTTTCCGGAATTTAATAATTATATTTTACAAATTGTAAAAACTTTTCTGGAATTTAGTAATATATTTTACAAATTGTAAAAACTTTTCCGGAATTTAATAATTATATTTTACAAATTGTAAAAACTTTTCCGGAATTTAATAATTATATTTTACAAATTGTAAAAACTTTTCCGGAATTTAATAATTATATTTTACAAATTGTAAAAACTTTTCCGGAATTTAATAATTATATTTTACAAATTGTAAAACTTTTCCGAAATTTAATAATTATATTTTACAAATTGTAAAACTTTTCCGGAATTTAATAATTATATTTTACAAATTGTAAAACTTTTCCGGAATTTAATAATTATATTTTACAAATTGTAAAACTTTTCCGGAATTTAATAATTATATTTTACAAATTGTAAAACTTTTCCGAAATTTAATAATTATATTTTACAAATTGTAAAACTTTTCCGGAATTTAATAATTATATTTTACAAATTGTAAAACTTTTCCGGAATTTAATAATTATATTTTACAAATTGCAAAACTTTTCCGGAATTTAATAATTATATCTTACAAATTGTAAAACTTTTCCGGAATTTAATAATTATATTTTACAAATTGTAAAACTTTTCCGGAATTTAATAATTATATTTTACAAATTGTAAAACTTTTCCGGAATTTAATAATTATATTTTACAAATTGTAAAACTTTTCCGGAATTTAATAATTATATCTTACAAATTGTAAAACTTTTCCGGAATTTAATAATTATATTTTACAAATTGTAAAACTTTTCCGGAATTTAATAATTATATTTTACAAATTGTAAAACTTTTCCGGAATTTAATAATTATATTTTACAGATTGTAAAAACTTTTCCGGAATTTAATAATTATATTTTACAAATTGTAAAACTTTTCCGAAATTTAATGATTATATTTTACAAATTGTAAAACTTTTCCGGAATTTAATAATTATATTTTACAAATTGTAAAACTTTTCCGGAATTTAATAATTATATTTTACAAATTGTAAAACTTTTCCGGAATTTAATAATTATATTTTACAAATTGTAAAACTTTTCCGGAATTTAATAATTATATTTTACAAATTGTAAAACTTTTCCGGAATTTAATAATTATATTTTACAAATTGTAAAACTTTTCCGGAATTTAATAATTATATTTTACAAATTGTAAAAACTTTTCCGGAATGTAATAATTATATTTTACAGATTGTAAAAACTTCCCTCTAATAAAAAAATAAAACAAACGAGGTCAGGCGAAGATCCAGAGGCAAGACGTGTTCTACAAAAATCAATTACTTCTTGACTAGTCATAACATCCCAAATTCCATCACATGCCAAAATAATAAATTCATGCTCTACAGTTATTGTACAAGTTTCTACTTCAGGACAAGCTTTAAAAAAACCAAAAATAAGCTTTTATATTTAATTATAAACCTGTCACAATTTGTTCTCTAGCAGATAAATTTTTGTTTGCTTTGAAAGCAAAATCCCCCAAAGCTCTTGACAATGCCAAATTTCCATTTACTCGATTGAATTCTACCTGCAAAAAATAATTTTTTTAAGAAAATTGTAAAATAGAGATAGGCCTAGATCCAGTCCTTGATTTTTCCTTGATTCAAGGTTAAGATCCTCAACTAAGGTCAAGGGGCTCAACCAAAATTATGAATCAAGGTTTTAAAAATTTCCAATCTCCATAGAAATTAATTATAAAAATGAATTATTTACCCATCCACCAGCAGCAAATATCCTCTTACTTTCTTCTTCATTTGCTTAAAAATATTTTAAATCATTTTATCTTAAGAAAATCAAAAGAAGACATACATGGTTTATGATCTAAAAATGAAAAAGAATTAAAACAAAATTTAAAAAAAGTTGTAAATACCTATGCTCAATGGAACGGCTAGACCTGAAAAACAAAAACAGTAAAAGAAATTTAAAAAATAATTAAACCTGAGACAGAAACAACAGCACGAGAATCACCAGCATTTGCTCAAAAACACAAATTTACGAGGAAATTTTAACTTAAAAATTTACCACAAAATATACAATTATCTTTAATTAGTACAACAACTGCTGTGCCTAAAAATTCAAATTTAAGCCCAAATTTAATCAAAAAAAAATTTAAAAAATCATACTTCCAGAAACATCCTTCAAGCCGTCATCTTCAAGCATTCTTTCGTCAAAATCTAAAAACCCTTCAATTAATGCATCAGATATTCTTCCCTGAACTGAAAAATGCAAAATTTTATTTCAAAATTCAAGCCTCCTTACGATATGCTTCCGATTGTGCAATTTGTTTGTGGAGGTATCGACTTGCAAGTTTGGCAACGTGAGAACCACCATGGCCATCAAATACCTTTAAATAAAATTTCAAAATTTTCTAAAAATGTCTCATACAGAAAAATAGGCTGAAGTTGGATCATTTTCTAATTCCAGAAGGTGAACATGAGCATCCTCCATATCTTAAAAAAAATTTTTAATCTGATAAAAATTAATTTAAAGGAAATAGTATAATTTATGGGCACTATTTTATAATTTTTAACGCATTATTGTGTCCTTTTATTAATCGAATTTAACAAACAAACGATAAAAATGGTAGTTTACGGGCCCGTTTTCCTCCTCAAGTTTTACAGAACAGAAATTTCTTGAAACAAAAAATCCCAACAAACATATAAAATTACCCAACAACTTATAAATAAGTATAAGGCCCACAAACTATACCATTACCAATTTTCTTTAAATATTCACAAAACTAATTCTCCAGCCCTGCATTGAGGAAGAACCTTTAAAAAAATGAAAAATTAATAAGCTAAAAAATTATTTTAAAAAATACCAATGCTGTACAATGCATTTGAACAAGAAGCTGTATCCTTCACTGTTATTGGTTCACTTAATGTTTGGCCCATTTATTATTAATATTTTTAATAAATCAGAAGAAAATAATATTAAGTAGTTCCTGTATTGCATAAAAGTATCCTCTTCTATTGTGACTTCTCCAACTCTGAAAAACTATTTAATCATGTGCTGAAAATTTCTAAAAATTAATAAAATTTGTCCGACCTCGAGACAAATTTTCACCGGAAATTGTAAATTAAATGAGACATTATATCCCAATTAATGTCTAGGACCATTTCGGTCAGTAAGGCAAAATTTGTCATTTGGTCGAAAAAATATTTTAAATTACAAAACGCCAAACTTAATTGAAAAAATTTTCGTGGATTTTTTGTAAATTTTTCTCAAATTTTTTAGAAATTTAGGATTGTTTTCCTGAAGAGTTTTCAGAATTTTTATTGTACAAATATACGACAAATTAAAAATGAATTATTCCCCTTCAAACAATCTTGGCTTTTACCATGGATTTGTTGCATCCTTATCAGTTGTAGTAGTGTCAGAACTTGGAGACAAAACATGGTTTATTGCTGCGGTTTGTTTTTTCTCTTTAATTTTTTTTCCTCAAAAACTATCAAATTTTTTTCAAAGATTTTGGCAATGCGCCATTCAAGATTGACCGTTTTTTCTGGTGCAATATCTGCGCTTGCTTTAATGACTGTTCTTTCTGCTTGCCTGGGATGGTTTGCGCAATTAATTCCTTATTGGTTTACTTTCTACATGTCTACAGCTCTCTTTGCTCTTTTTGGGTTAAAAATGCTTTATGAAGCTTGGCATATGTCTGCGGCTGAAAGCAAAGAGGTTTGTTTAATTTTCAGAAAAACTCTAAAAAATTTCAAAAAAAAAATTTTTTTTCAGGTACAAGAAGAAGCCCAAGCTGAAATTCAAAGAAAAGAATTGGACATGGAATCAACAAAATATTCTTCTTTAGAAATGGGAGGTGCTGAAGATAAAAACCAGAGGTTTTTGTTTTTTAAATTTTTTGTCTTTAAACCCAATTTTTTTAAAGCTCTTCAGCGTGGCGCATTATTTCATTTATTTCAACTCTTTTTGTAAAATCTTTTATACTAACTTTTCTTGCCGAATGGGTTAGTTTTCTAATTTTAATCTTATTTTTTAAATTGTTTTTTAAATTTTAGGGTGATCGCTCTCAATTAACTACAATCATTTTAGGAGCACGAGAGGATGTTGTAGGTATGCATTTTTTCATTCAATTAAAATTAAGCCCCTACACTACCAGGGAGTCACTGGCTTTTTGGACGGATTTCAGGGTTTCGGGCCGGATTTTGGAAAATTTCTCGAATCGTGGTTTCGGATTGGAAAAACTGAGTATCTCAGGTAATTAACCCGTGACATCCCTTGTCTACTACCTTACCTTAAAAACAAGATACCCCTTTAAACCTTCAAATTTTTTAAAGGAGTTATTCTTGGTGGAATTCTTGGTCATACAATTTGTACTGGAATTGCTGTGCTAGGTGGACGATTATTAGCTCAACGGATATCTGTTCGGACTGGTTTGACTTCTTCAAAAATTTTTTTTTAATTTCTCATTTCAGTAACTCTAATTGGCGGTATTGTCTTTCTTCTTTTTGCTTTTTCTGCATTTTTTGTTGGAGATGCTAGCAGATCATCTTTGGGACTTGGTTCAAATAATAGTACATCATTTACTAATAATTTGGGAAGATCAGAAATTCAGGAAAGAAAAGCAAAGTAAATTTTGTGTGATATAAAGGTTGTCTTTATTTTTGTCTTATTTTTGTATTACTCATCTTTTTAACGACTTTATATATGTTTCGAGGTAAATTTTATGGTTTGACTTCTTGTCTGAAAACTTATATGCTCCCTTTAAATTTTTGACTAAAATTCTTTTTTTTTTGTTTTGCAATATGGCCTGTAATGGTTGATGTCGTTGATTTTATTAAAAATTGAACATTTTTGTAATTTTCAAATTCCACATTTGATCTTTCCAAATCCCTCTTTTTTCTCTAAAAAATCTCCAACACTGATATCCCCCATTCCCTCCAAGTCTGCCTTTAATCCCTTCAGTTCGCAGGGTGGAGGTCTTCAGGGCAAAGGAATGACCCCCAAAAAATCTAACATACATAGATCAACGACATTTTCTTTTTTGCTTGTATTTATTTGACTAAGATTCCCCTAAAAGATCGAAATCCTTTCACAAGATCGAAACCTTCGTCAGACAATTTAACACTCCCTCAATTGTAACAATAATTAAAATTCTAAAAAATGATGATGGTTTTGATCTTGTGTCAGTTGACTTGATTTATTGTCACTTTCATTTCTTAAACTTTTTTAAATTTTCTTAAGATTTCCCTTAGTCTTTTTCTTTAATAAAAATATTTCTATTCTTTAAATATAAATCTTAAATTCTTGGTATTTATCTTTAGTCTTACTTAAACTTTTTCACATTCCACTCTTTTTAAAATAATAAAACAAACTTAAATAATCGTAGGACTTTGACCGCATATTTTTTAAAGTTTGTGAACAGTACACAAAAACGTTCAAATCCATGCATCAATTGATCAAATTGATGTCAAAAAAATGAAGGAAAAGGAAGGAGAAACGGGTCAGCTGCTATTCTTTTCACTCAAATTGTTTGATGAGCATTCCATAGCCTTTAAAAAAATAATTTTGATGGTGTTCAAGATCTTCCCAGCTGGCATATCTTATCCTTCCCCTTTAAATTTTTTCACCGTTCTCTCAATCCTATTTTCTAATCATTCTCAATCCCCTTCCATCCCCTTTGCTCAATGTATCGATTTAGTTTTAAAAGTTTTTTGGGATCACCTGGTGAGCCACAGCCGTTTTGGTTGGAGTGGGCGTATAAATTACAAGCTTAGAGAGTATCATGTTAGATAAATATAGCTTTTAAGAGATATTTCTGATTGTGAGAGAGGATAAAAAAGAAAATTGGTGAGAGTTTCTTAAATATTTTTTAAAAAAATCTTCTCCGATTGACTTGTTTAGTAAGTTAATCCTGTCCAGGTGGCTTTAAAGCCCGAAAAAATTAAAAAAGAAAGAAAAATTTTCTCAAGTGATTTTTTTCTCATTTAAACAATAGAGTGCTATTATTGACAGCATTAAAAACCAATCACATTTGGTTAAACTTGACCTTTTTTAATTCATTAAATTTTAAACCAAAAAATCTTCATTATACTTAAATTAGTTTTATTTGTCCCTTCACTAAATTTTTATTTAAAAAATGTCTGAATTAACCAATGGAGTAGCTACTGAGGATGAAAATGTTTCTGGTGCGCAAGTAGAAGGAGAAGAGAGTGAAGCAACATTACTTAAAAAGAATCTCAAGTTGGAAAGCCAACAAGGTGAGAAAAAACGGGAGTATTCGAATAATATTTGAGCCTTATTTTTCTTCTTTAGCCGAAGAAGACGAAGCAAACAAAGAAAATGCTGATGAAAAAACTGAAGATCAAGTTCCAGAAATAACTAATGAAGATCCAATGACTACTTCAATGGACGGTATTGAAGAAATTGCTAATGAAGAACCTAAAGAGCCTGTTGAAGATGAACAACCAAAAGAAAATGGATTAGATAAAGCAGAAGAGGAAAATACAGAAAAAGATGCAGCAGAGATTCCTGTAAGTATACTTGATGGTGGTGAGGAAAAGCAAGAGGAAGCACCAAAAGTTGAAGCAGATTCTGCCGCGGAGTCAGTACCAGTAGCAGAAGAGGAACCAGCACCTGAAGAGCCTCAAACTGAAGAAGCACCACAAGAGGAGGCTGATCCTCCTAAAGAAGAGAGTGTGGCGGAACCTGAACATTTTGAATTGCAGGCACCGCCAGTACCAAAACGACCGAGGACACCCAACGAATTGGATGAACCACAACCAGAGTCAGAGCAAAAGTCTGAGAGTGAACAGCCTGTAGATGAACAACCACAGGAAGTGGGTGAGAAGGTGGAAGGTGGCACCTTGATAAATGGAATAATTGAGTTTCCGCGCCGCGAAAGTGCTTCCAAACAAAGCACTATTGGTAAGAAATCTTGAACTTTAATAGAAGTAATCCTTAATTAAACAGCCTCTCCAATCCCTGCAACTCCAAAAAGTGGTGCTCCTCCAACTCCAAAAAGTGGCGGTGCCCCCGCAACCCCAAAAAGTGGAGCAACTGCTACACCAAAATCTACACGCAGTGGCAGAGCATTCGACTTTAATTCAAACAAAACTGGAGCAAAAAAGACAACCTTTGAAGATGAAGTGCTTTCTGTAAAGTCACCAAAGTCGAGAGGTTCAAAATCACCAAGAAGCCCCCGAACACCAAAGTAAGGAGAGAAAAGATTGCTTTAATTAATTTTTAAAATTTAAAGAACCCCAACAAGTCAAGTAGAAGAACCCAAACCAGAAGAAACTGAAGACCCTCCAACTGAAAATGAAGTTGCTGATTCCGATGCCGGAAAACTAGCAGCTGAAGAGGAAGAAAGACAACGC